CCATTTGCCAAGTACACTGCTTGCATTGTCTGAATTTGGGAAGGAATTTCAGTTAATAACTGTGACATTTTGCAAATATAATACAAGAATTTTTTCTGTTTTGACCAAATGCTAACCTTTACCAACTTTTTTCAAAACTATTGCAAATTTTTTGTTGATCTCAACTGTGTTCAGATAGTCCTTTTTGTGTCATTAAACTTGTGTTACACAATCAAATGTGTAGCTCCCACCCATTTGGCTCTTGTCTATGGACAGAGCCAAACAGTTGCTCAAGGAGATTTAATAGAATTAAAATCATTAGATCCAGGTGTGGTGTCACTTTTCTTCAATCGTATCACAAGTTAAAGTTTTCTTCAGGCCAGTGCCATGTGACTTCCCTTATCCTGCGGAGACATTAATCATACACACACGCTCACATGTACACAAACAAGCACAAACATACACACACACAAACACACACAAACACACACAAACACACACACACGCACACACACACACACACACACACACACACACACACACACACGCGCACACACACACACACACACACACACACACACACACACACACACACACACACACACACACACACACACACACACACACACACGCGCACACACACACACACACACACACACACACACACACACACACACACACACACACACACACATGCGCACACACACTCACACACATTCAACCGTCCATCCCTATCTAATCCTCTGATTTACCTCCTCTCTACAGTCTGAGCTGCCCTGTTTTCATTGTAGTCATGGGCTGTGACTCATCGTGCTCGTCTGAGCCAAACTATTTGCGTTGGTTCACACTGGCTGACACACCTAGGACCAGGAAACACACCCATTCCCACATATCCTTGTATTCAACTAGAGTGACCTGCCATAAAGCTGTGACAGGCAGAGGGGACTGAGTTTGTAAAAACATGCACAAACATGCATTTTTCACACGCGTGAAAAATAATCAGGACATCTCCTAAATGTTTAGTTTTATCCCTATGGTACAATCCACATTTTAGTTGTCTCAAGGCTCATTCTCTTCTACTTATCTTTATCTTGATCTCCAACACCCACTGTTGATTGATTTAGAGTTAATAAGGCGTAATCAACAGGTGATAAAAGATTTTAAAACACTATTTACCTCATCATTTAAGAATGAGTAAGAGTGAAAGTGCAGAAACAAATAGTGAGCAGTAAAAAAAACACGCAGCAAGGCACGTATTTACTGTGGGGTTGTTATCTGACCATAAACATTCAAAACCAGCAGAAAAGTTGTTGGGTAGCACACACTTCAGACAGGAGCCCTGCTGTTTACATGAGAACACTTCATAGGAGTTGTCTGTCTGGAAGCAGCAGTTGCTCTAAGCTGAAACTGTTCTTCAAAGGCAACAACGGCCACACCTTATGCACGGAGCTGTGCAAACAGGTGCAGTAGCACGACACTGTACGAGGAGGATGATCCTTTTTGCCAATGCAGCAACGCAGTTCTGTAGCTAATACTTTCAATCATGTAGAAAAGCACCAGAGGGTTACTTTGAAACAAGGCAGCGCGTGGACAGTATGAATGATCTCTGCAGTCAATAAAATGATGTAATACATGTTGTAAACCTACTCATTCACATAATATGTTTTCAGAAAATTTGCATCCATACAGTGGCTAATTTATTTTTTGTTAACACCTTATAACTGTCCTTCAAAAAACAGTTTGTTTAAAACACAGTTACAGTCCAAAGAGTAAAGCAATACTACACTTCGGACATAGTTCTTTATGATTCCTACTTATCTTACACATGGTTGGGATTACTCCATCACTTTTATCTCAGTGTGCACACTTGCAAATAAATGCATGCACACGTGCACACACACAAACAGTGGGCCTTCTTCTTTTTGTGGGAGAACTGCACTCTTTTTTTCAGAGAAAACAAAATCAGAGCTCTCTTGGATGGTGGTGTAATGCGGTTACATTAAAATACATGTGTGCACACATGTACAAGAGTGTGTGTGTGTGTGTGTGCGTGTGTGTGTGTGCGTGTGTGTGCGTGTGCGTGTGTGCGCCACTCCCTGTTCTTTCCCCACAAAGCCACGCAGTAACTTCCTCTGTGTTTGCTCTACTCCTTGCATGGTGTTTGCTTTTTCACCCTGTGGAGAATGGGTGCGACAGGTTGGTGAGGGGTGTTTCAAGGACGCTGCACATTGAAGTAAGAGGTGAACAAGCATACACATACATTAACACATACATGTACATACTTCAACATCCCACATGACAGGCCATTTGCAAAACTGTATGCAGACACATATCCTGCAGTTGCAAGGGGATACATGTTAATATTATAGAGTAGCTTGCCAAAAAAATAAAGTAAAATAAAAATAGAAATTATGGTTTGGTATAAAAATATATCCCCATATTGGGTCAGCTGTAACACATGATCTCTAAGTCATGATTGAGAGTGTGTGAAAGCTAGTTAGGAAGTGAGAAGAAAAGTCTAAACAGCTGTAGTAATATTAAGGTATTAAATATTATTAAATCAATACATAAAGAATTCAACTAGTTAGGTAAAAGTAATGGATAAACAGTTGAAATAGCAAGCTAAAAACAATTATTTCAATGAAATTAAACTTAAAAGTTAGACGAAAATGGTTGAAGTAGGTGGCTAAAAATAATGGATAAACAGCTGAAATAGCTATCTTGAAGAAGGTTAAAGGGAAAATTGTTGAAATAGCTAGCTAAAAGCAGGCCAATGCGTAAATAGTTGAAATGGTTATCTTAAAATAATGGAGGAATAGTTGAAATTGTTAGTAAAAAGTTATGGATGGACAGTTGGAATAAATGAAGTTGTAGCTAATGAATAGAAGATAAAAAAATTATAGAGAAAATGGTTTTAAAGGCTAAACGTAATGGAACAATAATAGACTGTATATAAAAAAAGGGAACAATAGTTAAAAGCTAATTAACTAAACATGATGGATAGTTGAAATACAAAGCTGAATAAAAGATATATAGATAAATGGTTGAAAAGATAAAAATAATGGATAGATGGTTGAAATGTTAAGTGTTAATAACTGTAAAATAGTATATAGCAACTGTTAAATAACACATGGTTTAAAATCAGTTCAAATGAACTAATTTGGAACATGATGGACGGTGTCGATGCAGAGTATATGTGACAGGGCTCTGTGGGATCACACCTAAAATATTGTTTTTGTTACTGAACTCGTGTTTTATCAGACATTCTCATCTATAAGCCTGTAAGGACTCATTTGCTGAGCCAATATTACCCGTTATCCCAGGCTGAATTAGCCCGAGGCACCACCCAATATGACTCAGTGGCTCACATATATCCTTTATTTCTCCACCACAGTGAAACAGATGCACAAATTCAAATTTGCCTTAACTCTTAGTGATCATTTGCAGTGTTTTTGAGTTTTATAAAACAAAAGTTACTAAGTGAGGGAAAAAAAAAAAAAATTCAGAGTGAGTTCGGATGCGAACTGTTTGCTTTTGCTGGTCCTTAGAACTTGTAGGAACATGTATCTCTGTGTGGAGATTAAAATGTGCTCCACAACAATATTGTGTCAGTGGAAAAATGAAACATCATTTAGTGCATCATGGCTGTAAAATACTATACTTAAAATACTTGAAATAACAGTGGGCTGTAAGAGGAACAGTACCTATAAAAATGAGAAGAGTTTCATTCCAAAAAAAAATCTTTCATGTGACACAGAGATCTTACGAAATTATGCAGAGAAGACAGTTTGGTATTCCTTCCAGCAATTACTGAGACTTTACAATTGCTGTTTTCAGCCGAAGCTGTAATGGAAAATAACAATGTAAAGCATGCTTTTGATATCTTCCATCAAAATAAATAAATAAATCCAAAGCAGAAATAAAGTTATTCAATATAAAACATGCAGCTATTGCAATTCAATAAGATCCTGTTCAGGGTGGGCATTGTTAAAATAAGTGAACTTGGAGACAAAGACAGAAAATCTTGTCTTGTAAATAGACGCTTTGGCCTATGTAAGCAAAGGACTCATTCTTGAGTCATTTTGTTAATGACAACTTTGGATCAGTTTGTGTGCAGTAATTTAAGCGCCATAATAACATGTTTATGTCATTGTCTATCATATGATGATATGATATGACCCATTTTGTGGTGCGTTACTCTGTGTATTTCATTCTTATCCTCAAATCCAGGTGGGCTGCTGCAAATCCATGTGCTTGAGAGCGTTCTGCATGAGTGTTCCGGGACTGAGCTCACTGGCCAATCACAACCGAGTTTCCACCGTCACCGACTCAAGGATACATGTATAATGTGAAAGTACTTATGCAAAGCTTGCGTATGGGTAGATGGATATAGTGAGGTGTGTCATGTGCCTTAAATTAGCTCAAAACAGTCAAAATGTTATCCAGTTTTGGTATTAGTACTGGCAGCAAAGATGAAGAAAAAATGTCCAAAGCCATGCCAAAAATATCTTGCTTCAATAACATGTGACTCAAAAAAATATTTTCTCAGTCACTGCTCATTTTGACTGATACGCACTTTCAAAAGCTGACTGGCTGCTGTTAAAATATTTCTGTTAAATGGACTTATTGAAATTTGATATAGGTGTTTTGCAATTAATTTCTGTTCATTTTTTAAAGCAGAAGTTACTTTACTTGCATGTCATCGGAGCCCTCGATGTGAAGCAGTGGGTGGTCCCATGGCTGCTGAGGACCACTCCCTCGCACCGGTCCCCTCCCCTGCATTCCCCTCCTTCTGCAAACCAGGAGCCCTACCCAACTCCCTGTCCAACCACTCTGCTCAGCCCAGAGGAGCAGCCACATAGAAAAAAAGAAAGAAGTTAAAATCAACTCACAGCAGAGGAGGGAGGGAGAGAGGGGGGGAGAAAACGCCCTGGAAACTTGGTTGATCGAGACATAGGAAAGGAGTGACAGAATCCTAACAGACTGCAAAGTTGTGACTGGAAGAGGTGCTTTTCTTGGGCTGGGGAGAAGGGGAGAGGACACGTTTTCAAGGATGCTCAAGCTGGTGTGAGGCTTCTTGGGCGCAAAGACTGCGCACAGGTAAAGATGCACTTTTTTCTTTCCTCAGATTGAAATGAAAGTTTTTTGGTTTGTTTTAAAAACTGTGTTTCTGTACTTTGTTGCGAGTTGTACTTTGCTTAAAACTTAACAGTGCTACAAAATACTATATATATAATATACTATAATATTCACTTACAATAACTTGACCAAAGTTTTATCAACTAAGTTGCAAAAGTGTCAAAGTGAAGTCCAACGTTCCTGTAATATTCCAATGGGCACTTGTAGTGAGACTGTGTATCATAAGTAAGATGACAGTGACTTTTTTCCTATTTGTCCTATGTGTTTATCTCCTGTGTTATCTTATGGTTTTTCTCATAGGGCAGTTTTGCTGTTTTGTTCAGTTGTATGAATAGAAAACACATGTGAGTTTTCCTGTTAATGTGGTGGTAATGTTTTGCGAATATTATCATAAGTTTTAAATGCTGATTTAAAATGGTGCAGCACATGAGAAGTGGGTGTGTATCCACAGCCACCATATGAATGCAGAGGACTGGAGTTGCGCACTTCACTTTTCCTTTAACTACACACAAAGGTTGTTATCTAAGTTGCATATAAGTGCTGAACCCATTGTTGTCGAGAGAATAAAGAGGAGCTTCATATGATTTTTGCCCCTTTGGATATGAGAGGTAACACCTCCTCACTCTGTATTTGTGAAGTAATTTGACTATTATGCAATGTTTATTTCACTCTCCATATTCATAATCCCTAGTCTGTGAGATAAGAAACTTTTTTATGGCACTGGAATATCACACACACTGAAGGTGGAAAGGAATAAGCGCTGGAAAGATAAAAGAGTTAGGCTGTGTGAGTTGATATTATAGACGAGGTGTTTCTCTTATCTGTCCAACGCCCTTCGCTGAGATTTGGAAGTTTATAACGTGAAGGTACTTCCCTATGGAAGCCTGCAGCAACAAGCTTGGGTGTGGATTCCTCTCCTTCACCTCCCTCCTCCCCCCTCCTTTTTTTCTCCCTCCCTTCTTGCTTCGCTGTCTCCTCACAGAGGCACACCCTTTACAGCCAAAAAAGAAAAGAGGAAAAAACCCCATACATGCTATCGCAGTGGGTCCCTCCAAGCACATCCAAAGGTCCTTTATGGGGTATCCAGGGGGTTTCAAATTAAACGTACCAATCACAACTTTTTCTTTGCCTAATCTCATGTTATGTCATATATGGGCATATTTTAATGCAGTATGCTTTCGTGGAATGTAGCGATCTTGTCTCAAGCTTCTTGATGTGATAAGTTTTTGAACAAAGCGTCCCTCCTTTCCAGCTAGTGTTACGTAAGAGAAAGTTCAAAACTATCACTGCTGCTTTGTGCTGAGGCATGTATGTTTTTTTTATTTTTATTTTTTTATATATATATATAGCTTACTTTTTCTTTGGCAGAGAGAGATTTCTCTTTCTTTCTGTTACCTTGGGTCTTTTAACCTGGGCTCCCAGCCAGGGTGTGCAGGGGAGGAGTGAGGGGAGAAGAGGAGAAGGAGGGAGGAAGACGGGGAAAGAGAGCCAGGGAGTGAGTTAGTGAGGGGGGATGGGTGGGGCGGGGGCGAGGAGGGGAGTAATGGAATGTAGTGGTTTGGAAAGACAAGCTAATTGAAACCAGGTTTGAGGCATAGAGGGGGAGCGAAGACTTCGCACATTTGTAGAAAGACAGGAACGCATTTTATAAACCCAAAAGTTGTGAGATATTTATTTTTCCTCCTTATGTATATGTAAAGCAGAAGTGGCATCTTTCCAGGTGTGGTTCAAACTTGAATCACCACATATCGTCTGCTCTGCGTTTTGATGTGATGTGTTTGTTCAAATAGTGGCAAAAGCAGATAAAAAAAAACAACCTCATACATAATCCTTTGTCGTATCTCACTTGAAAGTCAAATTTCTGTGTGTGCAGTTGCCTGTCCTCCACAGCTCCCTGCTGCCACACCCAAAAGTCATTTCAGTGGAGTGCTCCGCTCTGCACAGTTTTTTCTACAATGCGCACTTAACTCATGTTTAGGGCTCCACAGCTGTAACTGTCTGGCATTTCTCAAGTCACTCTTGTCAAGGTGATTGATTGTGACTCAGACTGCCTGAAGAGCCAAATGGTCACACAGGGCTAAAAGATCTTTGGGCAGTAGGTGTGTGTTAAAGTTATAAGTGTTTAGTGTTCTTTGTATTTCAAAAATTCCACTTTTACTTGGTGATAATATGGCGAGACGTATTATATGACATGTTACTTCATGTGGAGAGTTTTGCTGCAATGGTATGGGTATATAAAATGGGAACATAAAAACAAAGTAAATAACTTACATTATAAACTTATTTTTCAGGCGTGGAAAGTTTCAGAACTGGTTCCTCACTGCCTGCAGCTAAAGCCAGTCAGTTGTGACCTGGGGCGGATACTGTTTATTTAAATACTTGCAACGTCTATCACTGCAGCAGTACAGAGGCTACATTATGTTGTCACCTAGATTAATGTAAGACATCTGGAATGCCAAAAACCACACTGTGAAATTTTGAAGAAGCTTAACTGATAGAATCTTGCTCGGTCATCATAGCCGATATCCCTCTGTGAGTGCCACTCATGGTGATTTTGTTGCACTTGCCACCCATGTGGCAAACAGCATCTTTACTAGCCTGAAGAACTGTTTGGAGTCTTAGCTTGACCATGTCAAAATATTTATCACAGCAGTCCACCAGAGCCACTATATATTCTTGTCCTGTTGACTGGCAGACGGGAGGAGCTGTGTTACTCAGCCGTGCCAGTGTGAAACGGAAAGAAGCTGGTCTCTAGCACACTTCCTCTGTCATTTCCTCATGGGTTTGTTGAGTGGGTGGTTAAAAGGAGGGACAGCGTGGAGAGGCAAAAAGAGGGAGGTGGATTTAGTGAATAAGCTGAAAGAAGGGAGGCTGAATGCAATCAAACTATAGCTTTTTTTTCACACTTGGCATTCATTTAGAAGCAAAGCTGGGCTCTTGGACATCCTGAAGTTCCAGCAAACTCGCTGAAGTCCCACCCTAGAGCTTGGGTAAATAACACAATAGTGAATTTGTAGATACACAACTGCTCCAGTGAGGGATGTTTAGTTTTCCTCCTGCTGCAAATAAACATCTAACTGTGGTGTGTGATTTTAGAGAGTCTTTCTAGGCAGTCCACTCAGCAGCCACTCCCTTTTCATCCATCCATGCTGGGCTGGAATGTTTCAGCATGCCCTCAGTATGCTCTACGGAGTGGCTATCATTATCATCGGCTGCCTTCTGGTTGAGAAATAGTGTTTTGAGAGGTATGATGAGACAGTCATCACAAGTTACGCATAATACCCCTGTAAGTCACACCCATGCACGTGCACACAAGCTTGGTGGGACTTTTGCAAGCATCGCATTTTGTCTGATAAGCCTGCAACGTTCGCCATTGCTCAGCTAAACATCTGTGGTACGACACCATCCAAAAACAATAAATCTTACGTAACAGTTGCCTCACTGCACCTGCCCCCCCCCCCCCCCCCCCACACACACACACACACACACACTAACTGTCTTGTCTTGCACCCCAACCCCCACAAACGCTGTTATGTTGCCTTGCACAAGGAGTGACATGCGGCATCTGTTACAAAAACTCTATTTGGAATGAGGCGCCCAAAATGTCAGGGCGGCAGGGCTTGGAATGTAAATTTAGAAATACATTCAGCTTTGTTTAGGCTTTCTTTATCTGGCACAAGATACTCAAGGATGGCACTCCTCACAGTCCAACATCTCTTGCTCTAAACAACTCTGCGCTATGTGGTCTAAATATTAAGTACGAATACATATCCTAATGCAGTGCTAATGCTTCAGGTTCTACAGCCAAGGAAGTCTTATGTCTATATATACATTCTGCTCCTATGGTTTCCATCTAGCCCTGCCTTTAACCTTCTCACCTCCTGCTCCATGAATGGACTTGCATTTGTTCTTGTTCAAACAGCAGCTGTGGAAGACTGAAACAAATCCTGACTAAGTTGCCAAACTAAATTAAGTTGAAGTAGGACAGTTACATGACATGGCCTCCGGAAGGGCTGGTGTGGATGTCTGCAAACCTGAAATGATATCCTAATTATGTGTCAGAACTGTATTAACTTCACTCTCCCCTTTCTCTTTATCTCACTCTCTCTGGTGTAACTAGTTATGCCAGTTGTGCCATCTTCATCTCAGAAACATGGCTGTGCTTTTCTTCATCATATTGTTTTACTTTGTTAGTTGCTCAATGTTCTTGGCTCTGAAACTGCCTGTAGGAACCAGCCCTGGATCACTTCTCATTTCAGAATTTCAGCTATAGTCAAATGACCGCTTTCATTTTTGCTAAAATGTTACGGTTGTGTTCTTTCGACTTTTATGTCAACCTTTTTTGTATGGCCCAATATCACATATAATGTCTCAGAGGGATTTTCGAGGCACACAACAGTACAGTTTATGATGCTGCCTAAGTTCCTAAGAAAACACTCCCCTTTAAACCTTAGCGCATTAGGAAAAAATTGAAGAAACCCTGGGAGAGGAAATTCAAATTGAGATCCTCCCTCCTAGGAACATCTAGGGGTGTAACAGAGAACAATGAGTAATGATAGGAACCATGAGTTATCTGGCACGTACTGCCTCATACAGTATAGAACCTTTAAGCTACTTTCCTTTTGTGAACACGAGGCTTAAAATATAATTTACATGAAAATCAAGGCAAAGTTGAAATGTACTCTCAACGCGCAACCCCTGGTCTTGTTTGTGATCTCGTAAAAGCAAGAGAAGAGTGTTTTAAGAGTCTTCATCAGTTTTTCCATTTAGTGCACGACTCCTGCCAAAGTCACAATGGTTTAATCAGCAGCAGGCCAACTTGGCGTCAGTGGGCAGGCTTTGGTCTTCTGCAGGACTTGTGGTTTGGTTTAGGGCTATGTGGACTATGGAGTGCAGAAAAGAACCATTTATTTTGACGTGCATTCCTTTTATATGCGTCACACATGCATGTCCTATCTGCGTTTTTGGGGGAAGAGTGAACCTACGCTGGGGCCTGCTGTGTCTCCTTTTGTGTTTGTTGTACTTGCTGCGTCAAACTGCAGTGCAGAGAGGGGAACACAGAGTCTGTTTTGACAACAAGACTGATTTGGTCACTGCTCCTCTCTCCCTCTTTCCCTCCCTGCACTGAGGCCTTTTTATTTGCTCATAATCAAATCTTATCACTCAACAGCACCGCTGTGCCTGATTCACTTATGACTGAGCTTTAATCATTGTCACACTGCTCCTGTTTTCTGTTCACCAAACTGATTGGATTTGGCAATCAACCAGATGAACTGGCTAAAGCCACTTTGATCAGTTACCAGTGTGCTGTGATCTAAGTACAAACTATGACCAGGTACAGTATGTGTTCTGAAGGCGTAGAATAAGAGCTAAAGCCTGGGGTGGAAATGGACAGTAGTGACATGTAGAGTACTGTTTGTTGTAACTGATTGCACAGGTGGAGCCAGCTACGATAATTATAGGAGCTGTGTGTATGGATGATTGAAATGGGATCCATTCAGCCAGTCCTGTTACTTTTCAGCGTTCATTTGAGAGACTGTGTTTCACGGTGCCGTTAAATGTGCCTATGTGACTGGATGTGGTGTTCTTGTTTATTTGAGCAGAACCTGGAGGTGGGGGGTGTGGTGGACTGGCTGCAGGAGGGTGGCCACTCAGGCAGGGTCCAGGGTGGGCGGCATAGAACGAAGCTGGAGTCAGAGTCAGAGAGAGAGAGAGAGAGAGAGAGAGAGGACATTTCTTTATAGTTAGTCATTGTGGGGAGAGGCTGGGCTCACTTCCAGCTGGCCTGACGGCTCTATCAAGGAATGTGTGTGACTGGAGGCCTGGGTGGGGCTGTGCTCTGAGCTGCTCCCTCTGTAAGCAGAGCAGAGGCAAAGCGACGTGATCCACCTCGTGGACTGTGGCGTGGTATTTCTACTCTTGAGCACAGCATGTGTTTTTATTTGCTTTCGCCACTGTTGGTGACCACGTTTCACCTTACTGTGTTGTGTGTGTTTGTGTGTGTGTGTGTGTGTGTGTGTGAGTGTGTGTGGTCTCACCAAGGAACTGAGTGCTGAAGGTGTGACAACCTGTTTTCTTATCATTTGACTGTGTTTATTCAGATATGGCCATTGTAAAAAAAAATCTACTTGCATGAGACTATGTATTTTTTTTGCTTCATGTATCTGGATGTTCATCAGAAAATCTTATGAAAATAAGTAATAAGTCTCTTTCACAGAGATCTCACATACCCATTATCTGATTTTGTTTTGGGCCTCATGTTTAACCATTCAATTTGTACCTTTTAAAAGTGTCATTCAGTCATCCCTGTACCTGAATGACTCCCCAACACGGCAGTCTGATGAATGCGTCTCTGTAACTAGAGTATCGGCCAGGGAGTGTACACAGCTGCTGTGGCACAAGTCTTCCTACACAAACACAATGACAACCACGTACTGGCTGCCATTTATCTCAGCTATGTCCCATCTATTTCAACATAGGACCAGTTCAAAGCAGTCAACAACAATGCATTCTTGGGCAAAAACTTTTTACAAGCTTTTCACTGCTATTGCTGCTTTTAAAAGGACACGTTTGCTCACTTTCTCTCTATTGCATTTAGTGTTTAGCAAAGGTATTTAAACCCCGACTGTTTAGAAATGGTTTCAGAGTCTCACAAACACAGTTATTTGGTGTAATTTTCACCACGGTAATGAGCACTTTAGTTTATTGAACACGGGGGGACTGGGGAGGGGGAGGTTAATGATGGGGTTGGAGAGCCTGTCTCGAAAGAATTTTTCTGAGGGACATGTTCCCACCGGTAGATGCCTGTCTGTACACACATCAAGTCTGGTTCTGTTTGTACTGAGACTGACAAAGAGAAGGCTTTGTTTCACAATATGCCGGTGGGTTGAAACAATAATTCTCATAAATCTTGTAAGATTTTGGGCTAGTTACAGCGGGTAAAAGTAAGATTGACTTGGCATGCAGTATGAAACTCGGAATCCAAATGATGAATACAGTTACAGCAACAACATTTTCCTGCTATATTGGCTTATATGGCTACCTGTTTCTGCCATTATACTGCAGTGAGTTTGTACGTCACACCTTGGCAGGGAAGTCTTGTTTCACAGTCAGTGAGCGTAGAGGAATTTACAAACACATTTTAGAGAACATTTCCTTTTAGATTTCCTCTAAAACTTGATTTGTTTCTTTTTAACTCTCAGTTTCAAATTCCATCAAACTGAGCAGGATCCTGGATAGACAGTGTGTTAGTGTGTCCATCCGTGTCCTCTTCTGCAGAAGTCAGAGCCACATTGAAGAAGCAGGTGGACTGATTAACCTCAAAGGGAGTGTTTTGCATAATTACTTGTCAGGGTCAATACTGCTACCATTGGTTGGTTAATTATTGAAGACTCTGAAGGCTATGATTGGTGATGGAGGGTCCATTGAGCATGTGCAGTAAAATACCATGAGTAAATCTTGTCTGTAACACCGCTATACGTGGCTGTCATGTGAGGACACAACTAATAATGCAACAGTGACTTTTTATGTGAGGAATTTGTTTACTCATCTGTCAAACATGTTGTGTTATTGTATAGGAGAACAGCATGATGAATTTGTGATATGGTTCTTTTGTATTGCCCATGGTAGTGTAATTAACTGTATATATATTTTAAAATTCATATTAAGTAAACTCCAATCTTCTCATTGTTTTTGTCAACAGAAGTCAAGAAAGAAGCATCACAGCATAAGACCGAAGCCCTTGGCATTGCTTGAGCAATCTAAGGTAAGTGTCCCTCGACATGATGCATAAGATCCACACATCACATCAGTGGTGCAAAGAAAACTTAATTTCTCTCTACCCATCACTCCGCTCCAAGGCCATCTAGTCAGTGTCACCTTAGAACAGCGCTCTCTTATGCGGCCAGACACCAAACCACTGTTGGAATGTTTGTTGTAAAGCCTCCTTTGAACCTGGAAGGTCATGCCACCGTCATTCAGCTGTGAAAGGCCTGCCTTGTGGAAACCTGACACTTGGCTGCTTCTGCTCCCCGAGCCTCCTCTTGCACCCCTCCTTCCTCCCCCAGCGACCACCTGTTCCGCTCGAACCCCTTTCCCCTTCTTATGAAATAACCTTGCCAAAAGCCCGCCAAGCTCACACTGTTTTAACTGTTTGTAGTCTGCATCTTTGGGAGGTTTATTCCTTTTGAGTGGAGGGAAAAGCTAGATGAAAAGGCATACTAATCCAAAACCACACACAGCCTCTGAAGGCCAATGACAAGCCAGAAGTAAACACAAGCTTTTGTCTAGCTGGCTGTGCCCATGACACCCCTTGCTCAACACACATGCTAGGCCATAATAAAATATGATATATAGACAAGCTCATCTATCTCCCTTTCCCCTAATTTTCCTCCCGCTTTCAGGGTTTCTTCAATGCTTTTTGCTAAGATCTCATTTTGTGTGTCCTTCAAATACGCTTTAGATGACATCACTAATGAAATTTAAGGACATGTGACACCAGGAATGTCACCCTCAGACATGAAAAGAAGAGAAATAAAAGGGAAGGATAGAGGACTGGTTGATTGTCATATTGCCTGATCGCTTTGAGTCACAGACTGTCTGCCTGTCTTATGATCCCAAGAACAGGGGCTTACTTATTTAGTATCTGTTTACAACACAATCCATATCTAATCATATGATCTTTTTGGATCATTACTTGTATCCATGTTTGCCCCTATTTCCATCATAGTTTATAATTGTTAAGGCATATTCTGAGCTTGTGTACAGAGGGGGATTCTGAGACTGAGTTTAGTAAAGAATGAAAAAGCAAAGAGATTTTCCTGCAAATATTCCCGATGCCCTATGCACTGTATGGCATTGTACGTCTCTGAGAACACACGTCAGAAATAGCCCCAAATTTTCATTTCTACTCGGCTGTCTTACCCCGTCGTCACTGCTAACATTCCACAGAGCAGTCTCACAACCATTTGCTTTCATTTTTTTTTAACCATTTCCTCTTCTTTCCATCTCCCTCCTTCTCACTGAGTTCCTTCCTTCCCTCCTATATTGCTGTGAGGCTCAGCTCCTCCCTGCAGCTTTCTGCCAGAAATATGTCAAAACTAGGAGAGTAAGGACGGCCCAAATAGTGCACTCTCTCTCATGGAGAACCTCAGAGCCTGGGTAAAATGCGGGAGGAGGAAAAGAGGTTTAAAAATGAAAGGGTGATTATGGATGAAAATAGACAGATGGATAAGGAGGGAAAACTGAAGTTGTGCCTTTGAGTGAGAGATTGAAAAATGAATAAGAAAACTGTTTTCTCTCCCTTGCTCTTGGGGAGTTTTTGTGAACACATAGATGTTGCCTTCCCTTTGTCTCTGCGAATTGTTTATTTCAAAAATGTAATCCAGCCAATAATAATATGTGCCTTGTGTGAGAGTTTAAGTGTTTCATCTTCACTGGCCCCATCTCAAACGCTAAACAGTTCTTTGCAATACCAATAAGCCCTGAGAGGCAAGTGGAAGAACGAAAAAAGTGAGGAAACCAAGATCATGTGAAAAGATTTTCAGCTATTTTTGTCTGTTTTCATTGACTGAGTGAAGAGAGGAGGTGGATGTGTAAACTGAGCCACATTGTGACCCATGGGGAAAACACAAATTCTTTTGGTTCAGTCCAGATACTCTCAGGGTGGGATCAGAGGAGCCTTGTTAAGATACTATAACTGGCAGTGTCAGCTGACATGAATGGAATTTGTTATATATAAAATTAATTGGATAAAGCTGGATATTTGGCACTGCAAACTGCCTTATTTGTCCCCTCCGCACTGTATTTGATCGACATAATGGAGCAGATTTAAGGCTTGAGGTTTCATGATTTATGTTCAAGTCACACTGACAGACACAATGAGATTGAAAGGGAGAGGAGAAAGAGAGAGAGGGGGAAGAAGATCAGGTTGTGGATGCGTACAAGTGGTTGGTATCATCTTTGGCATAAACACCATCCCTATCGATGTTGGTGGCCCTGGCCCTTGTTATTCAGTCCCGAGAGTTTGCGAAAGGCTATTTTAGAGAGAGGCCTTAATATTACCTCAAAGCATTGCTTGCATTTTCCAGTGTTCCCAGTCATGCAGGGCCAGTCTATTTATTGACGTGTGTTAATTGGTGTATTGCGTGTTATGTGTTCTTGGATAGGGTCCAGCAAACTAGGGAGACAGTTTGCAAATCACTTGGCATTCCAAGTGTCTGTGTTGCTTTCTCACACACCCTATGTTTTTTCAGAAATCTGCTCTGTTAATTTTAGTTTCATAATCTTTATTGACACAGAAGTCTAGACAGTCCTGTTTTCCATGTATTTTTTTTTTTGTTTTGTTTTTACAATTTAGAGTTTGACAGTTGATACATAAATGTTCAAGCAGGGAACAGAAAAATTTTGTTAAAACATTTTAATGTATAGCCTACATATCTGCCAAAATTATTATTTATCTCCATGTAAAAGCACTGGAGCAAATCCAGGCATAGTTGCTGTATGCATGGTAATATTTTAACACACTACCTTAATTACATTAGGAGACAAACAGGTCTCCACTAGTATTTTTTGAAATCCCAGCAAACTATCCAAACCATTAGTGTTGTCTTCTTCCAAACTTCTCATTTTGTTTAATATACTGTACGTTGGAAGTGTGGAGAGAGTGGCAGATGGCAGTTAAGTGAGTGATGCATAATACCGACCCTTTGGAAACAGCTGTTTTGTTATCTTTGCCTCAGGTTCCTCTTGTTCTCAGCAGCTTGTTATCTTGCAGAGCAGTGTGGCAGCTTCAATGAATGGGGGTGGGGTGGGGGGGTTGTGGCTTATTGGTCTAATTATGTTATTTAAAGTTACAGGCTTTCCCTTTCCTAGTTAGTCTCTGGTTGTCAAGTACATCCCATGAAAAACACAAGCAACCATTCACCACCATGACTCACATCCTATTTCTTTTGTGTCATCGCATGGATAGGCTTTTAATATTTGCATTGGCTGGTGATGATGATGAATGATTCTCTGAAATTACTTTTGCGATACAGCTTTTATTTGTGTCTCACAGTGCGATACCATTCAGCAAAAAAAAGTTTTAGTACTGTGAAACATTGACTGGTTGCTGTTGGTATGATCAAGTCAGATGCTCAAGCAATGAAAACAGCACATTGAATGACCTTGCTTTTTTTTTTTTTAAAAAAAAAACAATCTTTTTTGTTTTCTAACACAGTTCCACTACTTATTATCTAGTCAGTGGGTCCTCTGGACGATGACTTGTCGGTTCATGCATTGAACCATTAAATTGGTGAGTGGCTGTAGTTCAGTCGGTAGAAAGGGTAGTCTTTTAATATTAAGGTTGGTGGTTTGGTTCCCTGTGTCTCCATGTACATGGAAGGTGTCTGAGCAAGAAACATCATGTGTGTATGGGAAAAATGGATTAAAGTGTGGGCCAAATGACTGCATTGTAAAAACATGCAAGCAATTGCTGGCTAGGTAGAGATATACGGCTCAACAATGGGTTGGCTGTTCAAAAGAGGAGCGTGGATACTAGTCAGCATGTTTGAGGAAGCAGAAGATGATGCAAACAAACTTTATTATTATTGTGATGGTCGCATATGTGTTTACGACAGTACACATACACAGTTTAAGTCAAGCATGCTTGTGAACTGGCTTGATGTGAAGTAATAGGAATATGGTGAACTGTTACATCGTTTGCTTATTGAAAGAGATTCTGTATCATGGCCAGCAATATCTAGTAAAGACTAATGACCACACCCAGTAAGTAACATGATATATGTTTTTGTATTACTATGCGCACCTTAGTGTTTAAAAGTTTAAACTGTGTGCAGTGATATATATTGAACAAAATTAGAACAAATTTATGGTCAACCTAGACTGAAATTGATATGTATCTGTCATTAGTGAACACAATAATAAGTTTGGTGTGCCTTGTTTGTATGAACATGCGACATGCAAATGTGTAATTGTTTTAGAATTACAGTGCTGTTTGTGGATGTGCATGTGAGTGGGCATGAGGTAACATGCTGATGTACAGTATCTGTTACTGTGTATGTCTGCGTGTGCGTGTTTTCCTAAAGCAAGGCAGCTTTAACCATCATTGTTCTCTCTACTGACATTGGAGCTGGGGTGTAGGCGAAGGATCAGGCTGCTTTCCTCAGGGCAGGGTGTGGTTTGACTCCAACCAAATTTCCAAAACAGAGCAAAAAGGAGTGAGAGAGAGAATGATTTGTTTTTTGCAGAGGTAGAGGCTGTGTTGTATGACAAGGTTTCAACACCATCTAGTGTCCACCATTGGGTCCTACAAGATGGACCTACTTTTAAACCTGGTTTGGTAAATGTTTAATTCAGTCAAATATAGAATTTGTCTTAAGGGTGTCTCTACTTGGTGAATATAAAGTGATGTTATTTTGTTGTTTGTCATGATTTTGTCTTAGTGATCATCACTGTGTTTTCTTCATGTAGGAAAACAAAGGTAGAGTTTCCATCACACCAGGGGTTAAAAAGAGGAAAGCAAAAACAAGGTATTTTATGAGTATTTAAAGTCACAATAAATTCCTTGTATTTTCTATATTTCTTCCTGTATAGTTGGATGCAAATGCATACATTCTTTGTAGTTTGTTATTTTTTTTCTTGAACCCATTATTTGGTTATGTTTACAGATGGCTGAAGAGGAAGAAACCAGGGAGGTGCTCTTTCCAGACTGGGAGGGGCCAGACAAAACTGGCTTAACCATTGAACAGACAAGTGGAGGAGAGATCTTCGTCAAGGAGGTGAAAGGAGAGTCGCCTGCTGCACGGTCTGGAAAAGTATATGAAGGTAGTAAATTCCTTTTTTCCTTCTAAATAAGTGTCTTTCATCAAGTCAAAGTAAGAATTGTCCCACCTATGTGTCGACTAATATCCAGTATTCTTAACAGACTTTTTTTTGCTACTGTCTCCACTTAATTCACAGGTGACCAGATTGTGGGCGCCACTATCTACTTTGATAACATGAGCTCAGAAGAAACAGCTGACCTACTGAAGACACTGAACCGCCACAAGGTTGGACTGAAACTACAAAACAAATCCCCTTGCTGCTCGCCTGTGAGCACACCATGTCGTTCACCAATGGGGACATTGACATGGGAGGGGAAGACCAGGTTTGGAGGTTCCAGTCCAGACATCATCCTTGTAAGTTTTTTATTAAGTTGTAAGATATTTGACTTGTTCGTAGGGAACAGAACAAAATACATGGTATAATAACATTTCCATGTTGTGTGCCTTCTTGTTTTTTCTATCAAAAGAGTGGGGATGATGAGGACTATAAGAGAATATACACAAAAAAGATCAAACCAAGGCTGAAGTCTGACGACCTTGCAGAGGGAGTAGATGTTCGCACAGAGCGGCACAGCAGCACAAGCAGCGATGGCAGCACAATTACTACCATCACCCGCCGCATCACTACCTACACTGTGGATATGCCGAGTGGCATAAGTGAGCAACTTGAACTTTCAAGCCCAGAGTTTAAGGGGCTAAGACACGAATCTGGAGATGGCTCTCCTCGTATCAGGATCTCACATGGCAGCCCTTCAGGTAAAGGGGGAGCAGAGGAGGGAGTTTTTGAGTCAAGTAATGTCTCTTACACTGGGCCACACATTAGCTCCACAGAGACACGCTGGGGCAGTGGGGGAGTTAAGACCACAACAATTACAAGAGAGGCAGAAAAAGACAGAGGTACAGGTCTTAGATTTAAAGGGCCAAACTTTGGAATAGGTGGCAGCCAGGGAGGCATTGAGATCTCAAGAGGGAGTGTGGAGCAGGGAGATGGAAGCATTCAGGTGCCAGAAACAAGCATGACACTAAGAGACAGCACAAACACTGGGAGTAGGCATGTTACAGTAGGAGGGTTGGGAGGTGCAGAGGTAACCTCAGCTGATGAGAACGGAGGGTCAATTAGTCTGACTTTACCAGGAAAAGGCATGCAGATTTTGACTACATCAATAGATAAAACACAGGAGGGAGACACTGACACCAGTTTAGGTGAGAGAACAAAGATGACAGTATCTGAAATTACCATCAGTAACTCGCAGGCAAAAGGATCAGGCAGTATTGATATTCCGAATGTCAGACATGGTGGAGGTTCCACAGATATTGATACTGAATTGAGAGGTGGCAGGATCGGAGGATCAGCAGTGTCATTAGGCAATATTGCTTCAGGATATTCCTCAGGGCCAGGCAAGATTTCAGTGACAGGTGTGGATGTTAACCTCACAAATTCAAAGTCCAAAGGTGAGGTTGATGTTAACCTACCAAGCACAAAGGGAGGAATAAAAGCATCTGGAATAGACACAGAAGGTGAAATGTCAAAAATCAAGATGCCTGGTTTTGGAATGAAAGGAATCAAGAGAGAGGGAGCTAGTGTTGAGTTTAAACTCAGTGGTGATGCAGATATATCAGTACCCGTGACACATGAAGAGGTGGAAACACCAGAACAAGACATCAAAGGGACATACATGCAAATCAAAGGTCCAAATGCGAATATTCAAGGACCAGTTATGAATGTGAGCCTCCCAGAGGCAGTAAACCTGAAGGGTTCTAAGGCAGAGGGAAGTTTTGATATAACAGTGCCAAAAACTGAGGGAGAAATAAAGGCACCCAAACTAAACATTAAACAAGGTGTTGTTGAAAGCACTGATGTAAAAATAAAAGGAACCAAACCTGACATTGACATTAAAACAGCTCAAGTTGACATTAAAGCACCAGACCTTGATGGTAGGGCTGCTGATATAAAAACAGAAGGACTGAAATTCAAGATGTCGTCCAAAAAAGGAACTACAATGCCAGATTTGGATATCAATCTGAAAGGATCCAAGCTAAAGGGAGATGTGGCAGTTCCAAAGATTGAGGGAAGAACAACAAAACCTGAGGTTCAGATCAAGGGACAAGAAATTGATACTGAAAGACCTAAAGGTGGATTTGAGGTAAAAATTCCAGGAACTCATATTGAAGGACCTGATGCAAAACTCAAAGGACCAAAACTGAAAATGCCATCCATAAAAGGAACAAAGGTGCCAGATGTCGATATCAAAGTTGAAGGTCCAAGAGCTGAAGGAGATGTGGCTATATCAATGCCAAAGATAGAAGGAGACATAAAAGCACCTGTAGTGGATGTTGAAGTTCCAGATGTTGACACTGAGGTTCACAAAGGAGGATTTAAAGTGCCTAAATTTAAAATTCCATCATTTGGAATAAAGAGTCCAAAAATGGAAGGGCCAGAAGTCGATGTTCATCTACCAAAAGCAGACATTAACGTGAAAGCTCCTGAAGTGGAAATGAAAGGGCAAAATGTTGACATGGAAAGTGTTGGTGGTAATATTAAAGGATCAAAAATCACCGTGTCAGGACCGAAAATCTCAATGCCTGATGTGGATGTAAGTGTCAAAAGTCCAAAACTCAAAAGTGATGTGGACTTGTCAGCTCCAAAGATGGGAAAAATAAAAACACCTGGAGTTGACATCAAAGGTCCAGAGGTTGACATTGAAGGACCAAAGGGTGGATTTGAAACACCTAAGATAAAAATGCCATCATTTAACATAAAAGGTCCAAAAGTGGAGGGGCCAGATGTTGATGTGAACGTGCCCAGAGGAAACATTGATGTGAAAGCACCAGAAGTTGACATTAAAGCTACAGAGATTGACATTGAAGGCCCTGATGCAAACATCAAAGGACCCAAAGTCAAGGCACCAACCATAAAAGGACCAAAGATGCCAGATTTTGACATCAAACTAAGAGGTCCTAAAGTCGAGGGAGATGTGGATGTTTCACTTCCAAAGATTAAAGGAGACATAAAAGCTCCTGAGGTGGACATTGAAGGACCAGAAATTGACATTGACGGCCACAAAGGTGGATTCAAAATGCCTAAATTTAAAATGCCATCATTTGGCATGAAAGGTCCAAAAGTAGAAGGCCCAGAAATTGATGTCAGTATTCCAAAAGCCAGCATTGACGTGAAAGCACCTGATGTTGACATCAAAGCACCAGAGGTTGACATTGAAGGACATAATGCAAAACTCAAAGGACCCAAATTCAACATGCCAACAATTTCAGGACCAAAAATCAATAAGCCTGATGTGGATTTCAATCTAAAAGGTCCAAAACTAAAAGGTGATGTGGATGTGTCAGTTCCTAAGCTAGAAGGAGACATAAAGACACCTGATATTGACATTAAAGGTCCACAGGTTGATATTGAAGGTACAAGAGGTGGATTTGAAATGCCTAAAATCAAAATGCCATCATTTAACATCAAAGGTCCAAAACTGGAGGGTCAAGATGTTGATATAAACCTTCCCAAAGCAAACATTGAATTGAAAGCACCTGATGTTGACATTAAAGCTCCAGAGATTGACATTGAAGGCCCTGATACAAAAATCAAAGGTCCTAAAATGAAGATGCCAACCATAAAAGGACCAAAGATGCCAGATTTTGACATTAAACTAAAAGGCCCTAAAGTCGATGGAGATGTGGATGTTTCACTTCCAAAAGTTGAAGGAGACATAAAAGCTCCTGAGGTGGACATTGAAGGACCAGATGTTGACATTGACGGGCACAAAGGTGGATTCAAAATGCCTAAATTTAAAATTCCATCCTTTGGCATGAAGGGTCCAAAAGTAGAAGGCCCAGATGTTGACGTAAGCCTTCCCAAAGCCAACATTGACATGAAAGCACCTGATGTTGACATCAGTGCACCGGAAGTTGACATTGAAGGACCGAATGCAAAACTCAAGGGAGCCAAATTCAACATGCCAACAATTTCAGGACCGAAACTCTCAATGCCAGATGTGGATTTCAATCTCAAGGGTCCAAAACTCAAGGGTGACGTGAATGTGTCAGCTCCTAAACTAGAAGGAGACATAAAAGCACCTGAAATTGACATCAAAGGTCCAGAGGTTGATATTGAAGGAACAAAGGGTGGATTTGAAATGCCTAAGATCAAAATGCCATCATTTAACATAAAAGGTCCAAAGGTGGAGGGTCCAGATGTTGATATAAACCTCCCCAAAGCAAATATTGATGTGAAAGCACCTGAAGTTGATATTAAAGCCCCAGAAATTGACATTGAAGGCCCTGATGCAAAAATTAAAGGACCTAAAATGAAGATGCCAACCATCAAAGGACCAAAGATGCCAGATTTTGACATTAAACTAAAAGGTCCTAAAGTCGAAGGAGATGTGGATGTTTCACTTCCAAAGATTGAAGGAGACATAAAAGCTCCTGAGGTGGACATTGAAGGACCAGATGTTGACATTGACGGGCACAAAGGTGGATTCAAAATGCCAAAATTTAAAATGCCATCCTTTGGCATGAAAGGTCCAAAAGTAGAAGGCCCAGATGTTGATGTAAGCCTTCCCAAAGCCAACATTGACATGAAAGCACCTGACGTTGACATCAGTGCACCAGAGGTTGACATTGAAGGACCGAATGCAAAACTCAAGGGACCCAAATTCAACATGCCATCAATTTCAGGACCGAAACTCTCAATGCCAGATGTGGATTTCAATCTCAAGGGTCCAAAACTCAAAGGTGACATGGATGTGTCAGCTCCTAAGCTAGAAGGAGACATAAAAACACCTGAAATTCAACATGCCAACAATTTCAGGACCGAAACTTTCAATGCCAGATGTGGATTTCAATCTCAAGGGTCCAAAACTCAAAGGTGACATGGATTTGTCAGCTCCTAAGCTAGAAGGAGACATAAAAACACCTGAACTTGACATCAAAGGTCCAGAGGTTGATATTGAGGGGACAAAGGGTGGATTTGAAATGCCTAAGCTCAAAATGCCATCATTTAACATCAAAGGTCCAAAAGTGGAGGGTCCAGATGTTGATATAAACCTCCCCAAAGCAAACATTGATGTGAAAGCACCTGATGTTGACATTGAAGGCCCTGATGCAAAAATCAAAGGACCCAAAATGAAGATGCCAACCATCAAAGGACCAAAGATGCCAGATTTTGACATTAAACTAAAAGGCCCTAAAGTTGAGGGAGATGTGGATGTTTCACTTCCAAAGATTGAAGGAGACATAAAGGCTCCTGAGGTGGACATTGAAGGACCAGATGTTGACCTTGACGGGCACAAAGGTGGATTCAAAATGCCTAAATTTAAAATTCCATCATTTGGCATTAAGGGTCCAAAAGTAGAAGGCCCAGATGTTGATGTAAGCCTTCCCAAAGCCAACATTGACATGAAAGCACCTGATGTTGACATCTCAGCACCAGACATTGATATTGAAGGGCCGAATGCAAAACTCAAGGGACCCAAATTCAACATGCCGACAATTTCAGGACCGAAACTCTCAATGCCAGATGTGGATTTCAATCTCAAAGGTCCAAAACTCAAAGGTGACATGGATGTGTCAGCTCCTAAGCTAGAAGGAGACATAAAAACACCTGAAATTGACATCAAAGGTCCAGAGGTTGATATTGAAGGGACAAAGGGTGGATTTGAAATGCCCAAGATCAAAATGCCATCATTTAACATCAAAGGTCCAAAAGTGGAGGGTCCAGATGTTGATATAAACCTCCCCAAAGCCAACATTGATGTGAAAGCACCTGATGTTGACATTGAAGGCCCTGATGCAAAAATCAAAGGACCCAAAATGAAGATGCCAACCATCAAAGGACCAAAGATGCCAGATTTTGACATCAAACTAAAAGGCCCTAAAGTCGAGGGAGATGTGGATGTTTCACTTCCAAAGATTGAAGGAGACATAAAAGCTCCTGAGGTGGACATTGAAGGACCAGATGTTGACATTGACGGGCACAAAGGTGGATTCAAAATGCCTAAATTTAAAATTCCATCATTTGGCATGAAGGGTCCAAAAGTAGAAGGCCCAGATGTTGACGTAAGCCTTCCCAAAGCCAACATTGACATGAAAGCACCTGACGTTGACATCAGTGCACCGGAGGTTGACATTGAAGGACCGAATGCAAAACTCAAGGGACCCAAATTCAACATGCCGACAATTTCAGGACCGAAACTCTCAATGCCAGATGTGGATTTCAATCTCAAAGGTCCAAAACTCAAAGGTGACGTGAATGTGTCAGCTCCTAAGCTAGAAGGAGACATAAAAACACCTGAAATTGACATCAAAGGTCCAGAGGTTGATATTGAAGGAACAAAGGGTGGATTTGAAATGCCTAAGATCAAAATGCCATCATTTAACATAAAAGGTCCAAAGGTAGAAGGTCCAGATGTTGATATAAACCTCCCGAAAGCAAACATTGATGTGAAAGCACCCAAAGTTGACATTAAAGCTCCAGAGATTGACATTGAAGGACCTGATGCAAAAATCAAAGGGCCCAAAATGAAGATGCCGACCATAAAAGGACCAAAGTTGCCAGATTTTGACATCAAACTAAAAGGTCCTAAAGTCGAGGGAGATATGGATGTTTCACTTCCAAAGATTGAAGGAGACATAAAAGCTCCTGAGGTGGACATTGAAGGACCAGATGTTGACATTGATGGGCACAAAGGTGGATTCAAAATGCCTAAATTTAAAATTCCATCATTTGGCATGAAAGGTCCAAAAGTAGAAGGCCCAGATGTTGACATAAGCCTTCCCAAAGCCAACATTGACATGAAAGCACCTGACGTTGACATCTCAGCACCAGACATTGATATTGAAGGGCCGAATGCAAAGCTCAAGGGACCGAAATTCAACATGCCAACAATTTCAGGGCCGAAACTCTCAATGCCAGATGTGGATTTCAATCTCAAGGGTCCAAAACTCAAAGGTGACATGAATGTGTCAGCTCCTAAGCTAGAAGGAGACATAAAAACACCTGAAATTGACATCAAAGGTCCAGAGGTTGATATTGAAGGGACAAAAGGTGGATTTGAAATGCCTAAAATTAAAATGCCATCATTTGGATTCAAAGGACCAAAAGTGGAAGGTCCAGATGTTGATATAAACCTCCCTAAAGCAAACATTGATGTGAAAGCACCTGATGTTGACATTAAAGCTCCAGAGATTGACATTGAAGGCCCTGATGCTAAAATTAAAGGACCCAAAATGAAGATGCCAACCATCAAAGGACCAAAGATGCCAGATTTTGACATCAAACTAAAAGGTCCCAAAGTTGAGGGAGATGTGGATGTTTCACTTCCAAAGATTGAAGGAGACATAAAGGCTCCCAAGGTGGACATTGAAGGACCAGATGTTGACATTGAAGGTCCAAAAGGAGGATTCAAGATGCCAAAATTTAAAATGCCATCCTTTGGAGTTAAAGGTCCAAATGTTGAAGGGCCAGACATTGATGTAAGCCTTCCAAAAGCTGAAATTGATGTTAAAGCGCCTGAGTTGGACATCAAAGGACCAGAAGTTGACTTTGAGAGTCCTAGTGGTAAAATCAAAGGACCCAAATTCAACATGCCAACCCTTTCCGGACCGAAACTCTCAATGCCAGATGTGGATTTCAATCTGAAAGGCCCCAAACTCAAAGGTGATGTTGATGTGTCAGTTCCAAAGATAGAGGGAGATATTAAAACACCCAAGATTGACATCAAAGGTCCAGAGGTCGATATTGAGGGTCCTAAAGGTGGATTTGAGATGCCAAAAATCAAAATGCCATCATTTGGCATGAAAGGTCCAAAGGTAGAAGGCCCAGATGTTGATATAAATCTTCCCAAAGGCAACATTGACATGAAAGCACCTGACGTTGACATCAGTGCACCAGAGGTTGACATTGAAGGGTCAAATTTAAAACTCAAAGGACCCAAATTCAACATGCCTACAATTTCGGGACCAAAAATATCCATGCCAGATGTGGATTTCAATTTGAAAGGTCCTAAACTTAAAGGAGATGTGGATGTGACAGTTCCAAAAATTGAGGGAGACATAAAAACACCTGAGGTTAAGCTCAAAGGTCCCAACGTTGACTTGGAATCACAAGGGGAATTTTCTGGGCCCAGGATCAAGTTACCAACAACATCTGGACCGAAAATGTCATTGCCAAATGTTGATATCAACCTGAAGGGGCCAAAATTGAAAGGTGATTTGAAAGGGGATGTTCAACTGCCAAAAGCTGAACTTGAGGGCCCAGATGTTACAGTTGATGTTCCTGAAATTGGGACAAAGAAAACTAAATTTAAAATGCCAAAGTTTGGATTTAAGGGTCCCAAAGTAAAGGCCCCAGAAACTGATGTGAAATTGGTACAAGGGGATATGAACATCAAGGGAAAAACTGGTAGCTCTGAAGGTCTTGATGTTGACCTAGGACTGACTGGTCCCAAAACCAAAGGATCCAAATTCAAGATGCCAAAGTTTGGATTCAAAGGACCAAAGGCTGAAATGCAAGAAGTTGATCTCAATCTTCCCAAAGCTGGCATTAACATAAAAACACCCGATGTTGACATTGAGGGACCAGATGTTAAAATTGAGAGTCCTGATGGCAAAGTCAAAGGAGCAAAACTCAAAATGCCAAGTATTTCTGGACCAAAGATTTCCATGCCAGATGTGGATTTCAATTTGAAAGGTCCCAAAATTAAAGGTGATGTGGATGTGACAGTTCCAAAGATTAAAGGGGACATAAAAGCACCTGAAGTTGACATCAAAGTTCCAGAGGCTGAAATTGAAGGACTACAAGGGGGATTTGAAATACCAAAAATAAAAATGCCATCCTTTGGCATTAAGGGTCCCAAAATGGAGAGTCCTGAAGTTGATATTGATCTTCCAAAAGCTGATGTTAAGGTGGAGTCACCTGAGATTGACATTAAAGGACAGAGTATTGACGTTGAAGGCCCTGATGCAAAATTGAAAGGACCCAAATTAAAGTTGCCATCCTTATCGGCTCCCAAGATGCCAGACTGGGAAATCAATCTGAAAGGACCAAAACTGAAGGGAGATGTGAATGTGAAGGGTCCCAAGATTGAGGGAGACATAGAAGCTCCTAAAGCAGACATTGAAATTCCAGAGGTTGACTTGGAGGGTCCTAGTGGTAAAATCAAGGGACCAAAATTCAAAATGCCAACTATCTCAGGACCTAAGATCTCTATGCCAGATGTGGATTTCAATCTAAAAGGTCCCAAACTCAAAGGTGATGTGGATGTGTCAGTTCCAAAGATAGAAGGAGACATGAAAGGACCTGAGATTGACATCAAAGGTCCAGAGTTTGACATTGAAGGTCCAAAAGGTGGATTTGAGATGCCTAAAATCAAAATGCCGTCATTTGGATTCAAAGGTCCTAAAGTCGAGGGTCCAGACATTGATATGAATCTCCCCAAAGCAAATATTGATGTCAAGGCACCTGAAATTGACATGACAGGGCCAGAATTTGATGTTGAATGCCCTGACGCAAAACTCAAAGGACCCAAATTTAAGCTCCCCTCCATTTCCGGACCCACGATGCCAGATTGGGATATTAGTCTGAAAGGGCCCAAGATAAAAGGAGATGCTGACGTATCAGTTCCAAAGATCGAGGGTGACATCAAAGCTCCCAAGGTGGACATTGAAGGACCAGATTTTGATATTGAGGGCCACAAAGGAGGATTTAAAATGCCTAAGTTCAAAATGCCATCCTTTGGAGTTAAGGGTCCAAATGTTGAAGGGCCAGAAGTTGATGTCAGCCTCCCAAAAGCTGATATTGATATTGAAGCCCCTGAATTGGATATCAAAGGACCAGAAGTTGAGTTTGAGAGGCCTAGTGGCAAGATCAAAGGAGCCAAATTCAACATGCCATCCATTTCCGGACCGAAAATCTCAATGCCAGATGTGGATTTCAATCTGAAAGGTCCAAAACTCAAAGGTGACATGGATGTGTCAATTCCAAAGATAGAGGGAGACATAAAAACACCTGAAATAGACCTTAAGGGTCCACAGGTTGATATTGAAGGTCCAAAAGGTGGATTTGAGATGCCTAAAATCAAAATGCCATCATTTGGATTCAAAGGACCCAAAGTGGAAGGTCCAGATGTAGATATAAACCTTCCCAAAGCCAACATTGATGTGAAAGCACCTGAAGTTGACATTGAAGGTCCTGATGCAAAAATCAAAGGACCCAAATTTAAGCTTCCCTCCATTTCCGGACCATCAATGCCAGATTGGGATATAAGCCTGAAAGGGCCAAAGATAAAGGGGGATGTGGATGTGTCAGTTCCAAAGATCGAGGGTGACATCAAAGCACCCAAAGTCGACATTGAAGGACCAGATATTGACCTCGAGGGGCACAAAGGAGGATTCAAAATGCCTAAATTTAAGATGCCATCCTTTGGAGTTAAAGGCCCAAATGTTGAAGGGCCAGACATTGATGTCAGCCTCCCAAGAGCTGATATTGATGTTAAAGCCCCTGAATTGGATATCAAAGGACCAGAAATTGACATTGAGAGTCCTAGTGGCAAGATAAAAGGACCCAAATTCAACATGCCAACCATATCAGGACCGAAAATCTCAATGCCAGATGTGGATTTCAATCTGAAAGGTCCCAAACTCAAAGGTGACATGGACATTTCAATTCCAAAGATAGAGGGAGATATAAAAACACCTGAAATCGACATTAAAGGTCCACAGGTTGATATTGAAGGTCCAAAAGGTGGATTTGAGATGCCTAAAATCAAAATGCCCTCATTTGGATTCAGAGGACCAAAAGTGGAGGGTCCAGACATTGACATTAACCTCCCAAAAGCAGACATTGACCTGAAGGGACCTGAAGTTGATATCAAAGGACCAGAATTCAATGTTGAAGGTCCTGATTCAAAATTGAAAGGACCCAAAATCAAACTGCCATCAATATCAGGACCAAAGTTGCCAGATTGGGATATCAATCTGAAAGGGCCCAAAATGAAAGGAGATGTTGATATGTCACTTCCAAAGATCGAGGGTGACATAAAGGCTCCCAAAGTTGACATTGAAGGACCAGATTTTGACATTGAGGGACCCAAAGGAGGATTTAAAATGCCTAAATTCAAAATGCCATCCTTTGGAGGTAAAGGTCCGAATGTTGAAGGGCCAGAAATTGATGTTAACCTTCCAAAAGCTGATGTTGATATTAAAGCCCCGGAATTGGATATCAAAGGACCTGATGTAGACATTGACAGCCCAAGTGGTAGATTCAAAGGACCCAAATTCAACATGCCAACCATTTCTGGACCAAAACTCTCAATGCCAGATGTTGATTTTAATCTGAAAGGTCCCAAACTCAAAGGTGATGTGGATGTGCCAGTTCCAAAGATAGAGGGAGACATCAAAACACCTAAGATTGATATTAAAGGTCCAGAGGTTGATATTGAAGGTCCAAAGGGTGGATTTGAGATGCCAAAAATCAAGATGCCGTCATTTGGATTCAAAGGTCCAAAAGTGGAGGGTCCAGACATTGATATTAATCTCCCCAAAGCAAACATTGATGTTAAGGCACCTGAGATTGACATGAAAGGGCCAAATGTTGAAATTGAATGCCCTGATGCCAAACTCAAAGGACCCAAATTCAAGCTTCCATCCATATCAGGACCCACAATGCCAGATTGGGATATCAATCTGAAAGGTCCCAAAATGAAGGGTGATGTTGATATGTCACTTCCAAAGATCGAGGGTGACATAAAGGCTCCCAAAGTTGACATTGAAGGACCAGATTTTGACATTGAAGGCCACAAAGGAGGCTTTAAAATGCCTAAGTTCAAAATGCCATCCTTTGGGGGAAAAGGTCCAAAACTTGAAGGGCCAGAAATTGATGTCAGCCTCCCAAAAGCTGATATCGACCTGAAAGCCCCTGAAATGGATATCAAAGGACCAGAGGTTGAGTTTGACAGTCCTAGTGGTAAAATCAAAGGACCCAAATTCAACATGCCAACCCTTTCCGGACCGAAAATCTCAATGCCAGACGTGGATTTCAATCTGAAAGGTCCCAAACTCAAAGGTGATGTGGATGTGTCAGTTCCAAAGATAGAGGGAGATATAAAAACACCTGAGATTGACATTAAAGGTCCAGAGGTTGATATTGAAGGTCCAAAAGGTGGATTTGAGATGCCTAAAATCAAAATGCCGTCATTTGGATTCAAAGGACCAAAAGTGGAGGGTCCAGACATTGATATCAATCTCCCCAAAGCAAATATTGATGTCAAAGCACCTGAGATTGACATGAAAGGGCCAGATGTTGAAGTTGAATGCCCTGACGCCAAACTCAAAGGACCCAAATTCAAGCTTCCATCCATATCTGGACCCACAATGCCAGATTGGGATATTAGTCTGAAAGGTCCCAAAATGAAGGGTGATGTTGATATGTCACTTCCAAAGATCGAGGGTGACATAAAGGCTCCCAAAGTCGATATTGAAGGACCAGATTTTGACATTGAGGGACCCAAAGGAGGATTTAAAATGCCTAAGTTCAAAATGCCATCCTTTGGGGGAAAAGGTCCAAAACTTGAAGGGCCAGAAGTTGATGTTAGCCTCCCAAAAGCTGATATTGACCTCAAAGCCCCTGAATTGGATATTAAAGGACCAGAAGTTGAGTTTGAGAGTCCTAGTGGCAAGATCAAAGGACCCAAATTCAACATGCCAAGCATTTCAGGGCCGAAAATCTCAATGCCAGATGTAGATTTCAATCTGAAAGGCCCCAAGTTCAAAGGTGATGTGGATGTGTCAGTTCCAAAGATAGAGGGAGATATAAAAACACCTGAAATCGACATCAAAGGTCCACAAGTTGATATCGAAAGTCCGAAAGGTGGATTTGAGATGCCTAAAATCAAGATGCCGTCATTTGGATTCAAAGGTCCTAAAGTGGAGGGTCCAGATTTTGATGTTAATCTCCCCAAAGCAAATATTGATATCAAAGCACCTGAAGTTGACATTAAGGGACCTGAAGTTGAAGTTGAATGTCCTGATGCAAAACTGAAAGGACCCAAATTCAAGCTTCCCTCCATATCTGGACCAACAATGCCAGATTGGGATATTAATCTGAAAGGGCCCAAAATAAAGGGAGATGTGGATGTGTCAGTTCCAAAGATCGAGGGTGACATCAAAGCTCCCAAGGTGGACATTGAAGGACCAGATTTTGAGATTGAAGGCCACAAAGGAGGCTTTAAAATGCCTAAGTTCAAAATGCCATCCTTTGGGGGAAAAGGTCCAAAACTTGAAGGGCCAGAAATTGATGTCAGCCTCCCAAAAGCTGATAGCGACCTCAAAGCCCCTGAATTGGATATCAAAGGACCAGAGGTTGAGTTTGACAGTCCTAGTGGTAAAATCAAAGGACCCAAATTCAACATGCCAACCATTTCTGGACCGAAAATCTCAATGCCAGATGTGGATTTCAATCTGAAAGGTCCCAAACTGAAAGGTGATGTGGATGTGTCTGTTCCAAAGATAGAAGGAGACATAAAAACACCTGAGATTGACATTAAAAGCCCAGAGCTTGATATTGAAGGTCCAAAAGGTGGATTTGAGATGCCAAAAATCAAAATGCCGTCATTCGGATTCAGAGGACCAAAAGTGGAGGGTCCAGACGTTGATATTAATCTTCCAAAAGCAAATATTGATGTTAAGGCACCTGAAATTGACATGAAAGGGCCAAATGTTGAAATTGAATGCCCTGACGCTAAACTCAAAGGACCCAAATTCAAGCTTCCATCCATATCAGGACCCACGATGCCAGATTGGGATATCAATCTGAAAGGGCCCAAAATGAAAGGAGATGTTGATATGTCACTTCCAAAGATCGAGGGTGACATAAAGGCTCCCAAAGTCGACATTGAAGGACCAGATTTTGACATTGAGGGCCACAAAGGAGGATTTAAAATGCCTAAGTTCAAAATGCCATCCTTTGGGGGTAAAGGTCCAAAACTTGAAGGGCCAGAAATTGATGTCAGCCTCCCCAAAGGTGATATTGACCTCAAAGCCCCTGAATTGGATATCAGGGGACCAGAAATTGACATTGAGAGTCCTAGTGGCAAGATCAAAGGACCCAAATTCAACATGCCAACCATTTCAGGACCGAAAATCTCAATGCCAGATGTAGATTTCAATCTCAAAGGTCCCAAACTCAAAGGTGATGTGGATGTGTCAATTCCAAAGATGGAGGGAGACATAAAAACACCTGAGATTGACATTAAAGGTCCACAGGTTGATATTGAAGGTCCAAAAGGGGGATTTGAGATGCCAAAAATCAAAATGCCATCATTTGGATTCAAAGGTCCAAAAGTGGAGGGTCCAGATGTTGACATCAATCTCCCCAGAGCAAATATTGATGTTAAGGCACCTGAGATTGACATGAAAGGGCCAGAGATTGATGTTGAATGCCCTGATGCAAAAGTCAAGGGTCCTAAATTCAAGCTTCCATCCATATCTGGACCCACCATGCCAGATTGGGATATTAATCTGAAAGGGCCTAAAATAAAGGGAGATGTGGATGTGTCAGTTCCAAAGATCGAAGGTGACATAAAAGCTCCTAAAGTTGACATTGAAGGACCAGATGTTGACCTAGATGGTAACAAAGGAGGATTTAAAATGCCTAAATTCAAAATGCCATCCTTTGGAGTTAAAGGCCCAAATCTTGAAGGGCCAGAAGTTGATGTCAGCCTCCCAAAAGCTGAAATTGATATGAAAGCCCCTGAATTGGATATCAAAGGACCAGAAGTTGAGTTTGACAGTCCCAGTGGCAAAATCAAAGGACCCAAATTTAACATGCCATCCATTTCTGGACCAAAAATCTCAATGCCAGATGTGGATTTTAACCTTAAAGGTCCCAAACTCAAAGGTGATTACGATGTTTCAGTGCCAAAGATAGAGGGAGAAATGAAAGCACCTGAGATTGACATTAAAGGACCCCAGGTTGATATTGAAGGTCCAAAAGGTGGATTTGAGATGCCTAAAATCAAAATGCCATCATTTGGGATCAAAGGTCCCAAATTTGAGGGTCCAGATGTTGACATAAACCTCCCTAAAGGAAACATTGATGTTAAGGGACCAGATGTTGACATTAAGGGGCCAGAGGTTGATGTTGAAGGACCTGATGCCAAAATCAAAGGACCCAAAATCAAATTGCCATCAATATCCGGACCAAAGCTGCCAGATTGGGATATCAATCTGAAAGGGCCAAAAATCAAGGGAGATGTTGATATGTCAGCTCCAAAAATCGAGGGTGACATAAAGGCTCCCAAGCTTGACTTTGAAGGACCAGATGTTGATATTGAGGGTCCCAAAGGAGGATTTAAAATGCCTAAATTTAAAATGCCATCTTTTGGGGTGAAAGGTCCAAATGTTGAGGGGCCAGAAATTGATGTCAGCCTCCCGAAAGGTGATATTGATGTTAAAGCCCCTGAATTTGATATCAAAGGACCAGAAGTTGAATTTGAAAGTCCTAGTGGCAAGATCAAAGGACCCAAATTTAATATGCCAACCATTTCCGGACCAAAAATGTCAATGCCAGATGTGGATTTCAATCTGAAAGGTCCAAAACTCAAAGGTGATGTTGATGTGTCAGTTCCAAAGATTGAAGGAGACATAAAAGTACCTGATGTTGACATCAAAGGTCCGGCAGTTGATATTGAAGGACCAAAGGGTGGATTTGAAATGCCTAAAATCAAAATGCCATCACTGAACATTAAAGGTCCAAAGGTCGAGCGTCCAGATATTGACATAAACCTTCCAAAAACTAACATCGATGTGAAAGCACCTGAGATTGACATGAAAGCTCCAGAAATTGACATTGAAGGCCCTGGGGCAAAAATCAAAGGACCCAAAATGAAGATGCCAACCATAAAAGGACCAAAGATGCCTGATTTCGATATCAATCTAAAAGGCCCGAAACTCAAAGGTGATGTTGATGTGTCAGTTCCAAAGATTGAAGGAGACATAAAAACACCTACCATTAACATCAAAGGTCCAGAGGTTGATGTGGAAGGACCTAAGGGTGGAATTGAAATGCCTAAAATCAAAATGCCATCACTTAACATCAAAGGTCCAAATGTGCAGGGTCCAGGCTTTGACATCAACCTTCCCAAATCTAACATCAACACTGAAGCTCCTGATCTTGATGTAAACCTCAAAGGGCCTAAAATTAAAGGGGAGATTGATGCTTCTTTTCCCAAAATGGAAGGTGATATGAAAGGTCCAAATGCTAACATTAAAGTACCATCCATCTCCATGGAAGGTGGAAAGACAGGTGTTACATTTCCTAAATTCAAAGGTCCTAAGTTTGGAATGAAATACCCAGAAGTGGAGGGAACGGCACCCATGTTCAGTGTGGGAGCAAAAGGTCCTAAAACACAAGTACATATCCCAGATACTGAAGCAAGTCTGGATGCCCCTGATGTTGACATCAATGTAAAGGGGAAAAAGGGGAAATTTAAACTTCTTAAAGTGAAAGGAAAGGCAAAGAAACCTGATCTTGACATAGACATGCCAGCAGCTGACCTGGATGTAGACACACCCAATATTCATGTTAAAAGAACAAAGGTAAAGAAGCCTCTTTTTGGCAAGCTTCATTTTCCTGATGTGGAATTAGATATCAAATCACCAAAAGTGAAAGGCGAGGGGTCTTTCTCAGAGGGACTGAAATCACCTGACATAGATTTGTCATCTGCTAGTCTGAATGCTAGTATTGACAGTCCAGATGTTAGTTTGAAAGGGTCAGATGTAAAATTAAAGACTCCTCATATTAAAATGCCAAATGTGAAAGGTGGTGCAGAGATTGATGCAAGTGTTTCAGGGGGCAGTGTCATTGGTGGCCTTCAATACCCAGAGGGTACAGTAACATTTCCAAAAATGAAGGTACCAAAATTCGGTATTGCTCTGCCTCAGCTTGAAGGCCAAGAAGGTAGAGGAAATGTTGAATCAGAACTTTCAGCCAGTGGGGGAATAAACATACAGTCTCCATCTATTAGCTGTCAAGCCAGTTCACAAAATATTGAGGTTCCCAGTCCAGAGCTGAGGCACAGTGAAGGAAAAGTAAAGGTAAAGATGCCAAAATTGTTTGGCAAATCAAAAGCAAAGGGCAGTAGTTCAGGTGACCTTCGGGGACCAGAGTTAGAATTGAGTACTAGTGGAAAAGGCAGTAAGGTCTCCAAAGACCTAAGTGTACACACAGGGGAACTGAAAGTTGGGAAATTGGAATTAGAGGGTGATCCTGGACTCAGTGTGTCAACTAAAGGCAAGTCAGCCTCACTGGATCTATTCAAGAAATCAAGGCATCGGTCTTCTTCTCTGAGTGATGAAGGTGGGCTTGCAGTCAGTTCTCCTTCAACTCACTTAGAAGCTGAGGGTGGTGACATTTCATTAGATCTAGGAGCAAGCAAAGGAAAGAAAGGCAAGCTGAAGTTTGGCACTTTTGGAGGTTTTGGTTCAAAGTCAAAGGGCTCATATGAAGTGACACTTGGTGAGGACAGAGAAGCAGGAGCGGAGGGAAGTGCAAGTGTTTCTCTACCCTCTAAAAAGTCGAGATTGTCTTCATCTTCCAGCAGTGACAGTGGTTCAAGAGGTGGTTTTAGGTTCCCAAGAGTTGAACTATCTGTTTCACCAAAAAAATGATTAACTATAAGGCAAATTAAACTCTCTCATGTACACTCAAATGTGTCCTCCTAATAAAAAATCTTAAAACTTGTCTCTTTCAAACCTGAGGGGACATACACAGTCATCTCAATGTCGTTAACCACGAGTAATTCATTTTTTCAGTAATTAGACAGGAGGGCATGAGATTGTTTAAAATCCCTTAAAACTGTAAATAAGATTAATTTGTATTGTAATAATAAATATTGTTTTTTTGTACATAGTCCAGATTTATTGAAAATATGCCATCTTACCAAATATTCACCAATAGTTTATTACAGGGTTTGCCATTTTGTCCTATTTCATTCTTTTAAATGAATGTTGTTAATGAACAGGTGTGGTATATTTTTATCCAAGGGTCTATTGCACAGAAAAGATAGTTACAATAGTTATTTTGAAGGAAAATGTTGTTTATACACCAGACACAAATATAGACAGTCACCACTTTTTTATGTATGAAATTATTTTATTTTCAAGCTTTAATATTATGTAATCAGTGCAGGAGCATATATATGCAACATAGAGCTGACCCTGTCTAACACATTCTAAAGAGTGATGGTGTTGTAGATACCAAAATTGCAAAGACAATCACTGTTTGGAAATTATCAACTCTCTAAAATGCTGTCAGTACTTCCTGTTTATTTTAAGAAAATGTATTCACCCTTAAAATCTATGCCATTTACCAAAAATAAGCATTTGCTTCATTTGTTTTAAACATATTTTGCTTCCTAATCCTGTCATTTTCATTCTTACCTGTTTTATGATCCTCTGTATTTTATTTCCTTTGTCACTCTGTCTTTGTACACACTCCTTATGAATATGTAAACAATGTCACAAATAAACAGTCACTTTTTCATGTTATTTTGTTTGCAAACAAAACCTGCGTTGATAGAGAGTTGCATAGTTTTGATCAGATATGATGGAAATAGAACATGATTCTTTGGGTCTATTCTTTTGTGTGCATTCTGCCGAATAAAATAAATAAAAAGATTTATAGAATTTATAATGTTTCTTAAATCAGTATTTGCCAGTTCCTTAATTACATGATATGATATGATATGACATGACATGACATGACATGACATGATATATGAAATTATATGATATGATATGGACAACACTTTTTCCATATCTATTTCCATGTTACAGTAATCCTATCCAAATATTCATAATTCATTAATGTCCTACACATTGCTCAACTGCATTACCTTGAAAGGTTTCCCATGTCTGTAAGGCCATTATGTTTTCACATTTATTTCAATGAAAATTGTTTGCAGTGGTGAAGTAGGCATTTGGATTACTACTTGTTTTTGATTATGATGTACTCATTAGGAGTCATCCATCAATTCATCTGACAAGAGTTATCATTTGTTTTTTTGAGGCTTGTCACTGGTATTAAGATGTTCACCACTGAGTCACAAGCATAAAAGCTAACACTGGATACAGGGATACATAGTGAAAAGTTAATGACAAGAAACACCAATGGGCTGAATAACTCGACTTGTAAAAAAAATGAAGATACATTTTGTCACAGTTTATATATATATGCAGTACATTCATAGAGCAAGGCACCCAGAGGGGTTGCATCTGTCATAAAGAGAAGTTGAAAATAACTATGATGAGTGGGGCCAGATCTATTGCAAGATGTTTTTTAAGGATATGTTCTTAGATAACCTGTTTTAGTCACAAGCATGAAACTGAAGTTATCACGTTCAGCTAGCAGTTTTTTTTTTCTGATGGTGATTGTCTTAATTGAATATATGGACTATCAGTGAAAGAAAAGCTCATATAAAGGGCATTTGGGCAATGAAGACATCTATATCTACGACATGTTGGTAAAATTATAGGTTGGAATGGTTAAAAATAGAACAACAAAAAAATACAAAATGCAAAATATCTGTAACCTCACCTGGTGGTTTCTGAAAGGAGTTGTCATCTTTGTGCAGTGAAGTTTCATATTTGGGTATAGCAGGGGAAACCATATAGGCCTGTGCCTAATATGTACAGTTGAACTTACCATTTAGTATGTTGTATCACTGCCAGGAAACCAAGTGGTCAATCTTCTACTTAGATTTGAATCCACATATTCTATGGTAATGAAATGACAACAAGATTAGCAAGTATTTAGTTGAAAAACATGTTTTTAATTATCCCATGAACTTTACCAAATTTATAAACCTTCTTTAAGGCCAGGGCATTGCAGATAATAAATAACCAGGGTGTCAGCAGTGTTGTCCCTGCAAGTGAGCTTAACTTCCAGCCATTGTATCTATCATTTCAGTCATGTACGTGGGTGTGACCAATGACAAAAGCTGGGGTTTGTCAAGCAGGGACGAAAGCATCTTAATTCGGAGGTTTGCGCATGAGCATTGAGGATAATCCTGGGATCTTTGACTGGTGATTAGCGTTAGCCAAAGTGTGCTTGTCAAGATCCCCTTGACTCAGCTTCCATCTTTCTGAGATCAGTAATGATATTGCACACATAATGGGCACGCGCAGACTTGTGTGGAAACTTGCAGCAGTAGCAGGTAAACAAGAAAATGACTCCAATTTATCATCCCTGTGCAAGATCTGCATTGTCACTGGTGTGTCATTGTCAGTTACTGGTAAATATTTTGAAGACTTTAGAAGTTTTAGATATTTCTCCTCTATACTGCACATTTGGTTGCCTGCTCGATTCTGCTTCCCTATCTGTAAAAGTCAGCTCACGCCATTGCTTCAAGGTGAAGGGCAAAGCTCTCCTCTCACCAGTCCAGCCTGTCTCCATGACCAACTGCCCTTCACTGTGATGCGAAATGCTTCACCTCACCTAACTGGCTAAGTGTTTGTTCTCGCATGCTCCTGCTAGCAGGCACATCAAAAGGGAATTTGCATTAGGTACTGAAATTTTTGAATATACAGTGTATGGCTTAGCTTTATGATCCTGCCTGTCGTTTCATTGCCAAGCTTGTAAACAATGTCATTGTGTTTGGTGATTTTAGTAACATTCACATTTTCTCCACATATTCAGTTAAGTTTTATAGAATATTCAGAAACTAATTGGTTAATGTTTAGCCCAACTTTGCATTATTATTTGTTCTTCATATTACATTAATTGTTATCTGCTGCATAACTACATAACCTGTGGCATATCACATGGGTTAAATCTGCATAAATCTATCTAAATCTGTCAAAATCCTATCTAAACTTTGGTGACAGAGGTCAAAGCCTTGATGCCAAATAACGACCATATCGATACATCATATTCTTCACTCACAAGAAAAATCCATCTCATGTGATTTACTGACAAAGATATGGTTGGGCTTTAGTTAATTTTAGACAGCAGAACGATTTGGATATGGTTAAAATTCCAAAACTGATTTTTTGTGACCACTTGGGAGCAGGAGAAAACAGGTTACATATAGAAGATTGACTTGTCACTTTCTGAATTAATATGATGTATTTACTCATGAATGAATGAATGAATGATAATATTTATTATTCATTCACAGTCATTTTTCTGGCCACTTTGCAAATATGAGTCCAATATTCACTCTTCTCTAAATGTTGTTCTTGATTTCTGCCATCTCCTGACAGGAAAAATTTGGTATTTTAGCTGCCAAATGTTCCACTATCTTCACTAGCTAGTCATTGACTGTGTCTGTCTGCTGTTTGGTGCTGAGCAAGTAGTGTATGCAGTGGGGTTTTAGAGCTTTTTTCCCAGAAGAAAATGGCCCTGCTGTGGCTGAAAAAGATGCTATTGAGAGCGAACCAAAACAGTGGCAGCTAAACAAAACTCCATAAAGCAGAGCAGCAGATTCAGGTGACAATTATTCGTAAGGTTCATCACTTCATTGTCACATTGTTTTCACATTGTCATTAAATACATTGTTATTATGAAAATATCAATTATAGCCACTTAAAGGAAAGGTTATGGACTTGGATAAAATTAGGGAAAGATCAACCTCACGGTTACAAGTAGCCAACACTGAATGTAGGTTGTAGAGTACATGTGAACCACAGTTTCTGATTATTGTACAGTTTTTTGAAAGTGGTTTCATTCACACATCTTTACTCTCACAAAATGTTGTCACACTGTTTACATTCTATACAAGATTACTCAAATTTGGTTTCAATGTGGAAATGTAGACAGAGAGTAGGATAATTTTGACAAAATTAAAATGTTTTAAGGCCCTTTGAAATGCTTGAAACAATAATACTATGAATTGATAGGTCTTCGCAACAGAAATGAAAAATGTGCCACCCAGTGGTTAAATAGTAATACACCACTACTGTTAAAGGATTTGATACATATTGACTACCCTTTTGTGATTAATTAATTGTCGACATTTAATTTATCCAACTCATACATTCATACAAAGCTGCATAATCATACGCAGTTTTAAAACTTTTGATTATTATTACTGATTACTATTTATTTGATATTATATGTACTTGAACTGCATTTTCAATGCACAGACATGGCTTCAGTAATTCAGTTTTTTTTACCAGGCAGAAGTTAGAGATCCTCACTCATTAAACACATTAAATCCCATTAAAATGAGTGCTACAGAAACACAGTTTGCAGGGTAAAGCTTTGTGAAAGCGCTGTTGTTCCTCAAACACAGGATGTGATCCCACTGCTCCTGGTTGCATGAATCCAATTGTTGTGGTAGTGCAGAGGAAGGAACTTATCAGGAATTTCCTTTAAAAGAGGAAAGTGCCCCTTTCCTTTCTGGAGAGGCAAACATATTTGGGCTGAAAGAGGGACACAGGGGAAGAAAAAAAAAACACAGGAACAGTCCTGCACAGTTGTGAGTTGTGTGTAAGCTACTGGATTACATGTAGCTCGGTGATGTTGGTCATTTAAATGAAGAAGATAATTCCACCAGAAGAAGAAGAATCAGTTTGTCAGGTAAGAAGAGAGATTGCTACATTTCCATAGACATTTGCTGTAAATGAAAAATTGATTCTACATATATTATTACAACAGCGGGAGGTGTTGCCAGGAAGAGATTTAAATTTAACCGGTAGCCAAATTTTTTATGCATTTTGGTTATTTGGTTACAATGTTTCTGCTGTTGATTCAGGAGGTACAGTAACCTCGTGTGCCGGCTCAGCCATAAATGTAACATTAAATGTCATTTTCTCGTAAATTCTCGACTTGTCCCTCCTGATGGCCGTGGTGAGTGAAAGGCTCAAACTCGTTTCTTCACCCTGGTCACGTACATACAAGGTCATGGATATTTCAGCAAAGAATTAGACATTCTCATATTTGAGGGTAGTATCTTATCATGCTTTGAAATTTCAAATCACCATTTATATGTGAGCAGTATGCTTGAGTGTGAATGCTGTGCAAGTACTGGTGAGTATGTGAACACGTTTTTGTGTGTGTGTGGCTGTGTTTTTCATTGCATTTTTATTTGCTGAGCTACGTATAAACTCTAGTCCCCATGAATATGGACAATGGTCAATTATATTTGAAGTATCACTGCCCAACACAGCATGGAATTTGACATGTGAGGCCTTGCTTTCATCTTTCCAATAAGCATTTAGTTGATATTCATGCTAGGATCTTGCAGTTGTAGCTGGGAGTGGAGGGGGTATCCACACTTATCTAGAATACTCCACAGTGGAGGTGGGAGTATAATGCAAAATAGCACATATATAATGCTTCTTGACAGTCAGATAGCAGATCACATAATGAATGTCTCACCTCTATAGCAAGGCATGAGAGTTGTAGTTACTCTATTTTTCTAACATGGTACTCTGCTTTTTATTGATTTACAATCCTTAATAAATTACACAATTTCCCTTCCGGTAATACAAATAATTTATAAGAATACATTTAAGACATTTAACTCATTCAGCTTGATTGCTAGTGCAAAAATGGCCATATAGGCACATAGGTATGTTCACTGGGGAGGCAGATGTTGGATGTTAATGTGGTTTACCACACCAGTCTGACATCTGACATCTAATGTGTCATGCGGAGTGCATCCAGATGGTGTCCTTGACTCCTGCAAGAATAAAAGAGGTTACCCAGTGTGATGTGTTACTATACATTAGATCGTATCTCACTGTAATAGGCCTTTATTATTATGATACACCTCGACTTCTAGACAAGTAGATAGTGTCCATAAAATACCCTATTTCTTTTATGCAACAATAATAATAGTACTTTCATTAAGAATCCATTGTCATATAGTTGATGCATTAAAGTATTAAAAATGAGTTTAGCTTCTGCACGAATCCGTCTTTAGTGGGATTGAGAGATTTTAGGGGAATTGTTATTCTTATTCCAGTTACTGAATGTGCTTCGGGTACAACACCGCACATATACAGCTGTATTTGAAGATAATTTTGTAAAAGCTGCTTTCATAATATGTTTGGTTTAAAAAGGTATCAAGTACAAAGGAGTCAAGTGCCTCCTGGACTAAAATAAATGTATGGAAACTCATGAGTAGAATTTCTGTCCAATAAGATAAATAAAGGTGATATTAAAGTCTCTCTGAATTCTGTTTTCATGAGTTTATGCATACAGCGAAAGCTACCTAGGATGATAATGTCATTTAGTGATTAATGACTTAATTTGTTAGCAGGGAATAACAACAAAACCAAGAAACTGCATCATTAGAAATTATTACAGGCAATAGTAAGGGCAATAATATTCTTTATTATCATTTTGTAAGTTCAGGGTCATTTTTATTTCCATTTAATGCCCGTAGTCCAGTGTCCTATTTTGGTTGTGGAACAGCAAAGTGAGATTAGTAACACAATCATTTTATGTACATGCGAACATATATTACTCAATAAATACTGTACATCCAAATGACTTGCTGCTTTAAATTATTAAATTATTGACAGTCATCAGTCATGATGACTTGTTACATTACAGATGATTGCTATTTCTGTTGTGAAATGGTTACTGTCAAAAGGTGAAGGTCTGAGGCACAGGAAACCAAGATGGCTTCTTTTACAGACAAATGAAACCCCAGAGCAACTGAACTGGTGCTGTGGTGGATACACCAACTCAAAGCATGTGTATAAACCCTTTCAATTAATAGAATCCCCAGTAGGGAGCAGCTACTGTATGCTGGTCCTTTTGGGCTCCACAATAACATAATACAATGTAAAATATTTTTATATCCAGAGAAAGCTCTTATTAATAATTCAGTGTTTTGCCTCTTAACTGTGAAAATAATCTTCGAAGCTCATTCATTCTTATTGTATCATTAGCATAAACACTTGGCTATAAACAAAGAATGATCCACACGCTTCATGCAGTCATTCAACTTTATATAGTTTTTACCATAGACTTGATTTAAATAATGCATTGACCTGAACATCCTCATCCTCATCTGTGTTGTAATCTTTATCTCTATTGTGTTGTTTGGTATGTATGAAAAAAACAAAGACTTTGAGTAAAAGAGATTTTCTCATCTAATACAAGAAGGAAGGACTAGTGAGCTGTAAAGCATTCACAGATGCTTCATTGGGCAAGGCATAATAATTTGTGAGTGGCAAGAAATAGTGTTCATATCATCTTTAGCTATAAATATGTTATTTATAGTCAGAGAATGGAGGCAATATGCAGTCTGGGAGTTTAAGATATTTAAACATCTTTTATAGCTCAGATCAATGCCTGTGTAACTATCCCATCAAATAATATGGACAGTTTTCCTTTAGGTAGATACTAGTAGACACAATAGCACAGTAGCAAACCTGCAGTGGGAGGTGGTGGAGGCGGATGAGAGATTGCACAATATTGAAATCCAGCAGTTTGAGTGCAAGGTTCTTCTCTCACCTTTGTCATGGAAGGCAAAATTTGGTACAGAGAGACAGTGCTGCATTTTCATGAGTTTTACAGGAATGTGAATGTCAATATATAAGCTTGCAGTGATAAAAGCCGTGAAAACAAAGTGTTAATAGGGAGCTCAGATGCAGAATTAACACTGAGTAAATCCAGTGTAAAAATCCATAAATCCTGACCAGATGCAATGCAGTATCAAGCAGGTAGGATAAGCTTAGAATAGCTTGTTGTGTTTCACAATCTTTCATGGTTCACAATTCATTTCTAAATCCAATTACCACCTGTCCTGTGGGCATATACAGTTTCCTTTGACAACTGGATTGTAAAAAAAAAAAGAAAAAAAAAGTACCTACAACACCCAGATCCAATAGTGTTGACAACATACCCTACATAATACCTGCATGCCACTCTTTTCATATTCTGGTGATGCTGTCAAAATTGATCAAATGTCCCCAAATTACCTTGTAGGCTGTTTCACCGCCTGCCTTTGAAGTATGAGTTTAGTTGTGGTATCTCAATTACCTACAGTGGTGGAGTATTAAGATTATGCTGTAGCAGGATCTATTTTTGAAATGTAAAAGACTGAAGCCCTGACTAGGGATGAGGCAGCTTACTGACCTTGAAGGTTCATCAGTATGTAGTTTTTCACTTGTAATCGCAGGGAGCTTTCAACACAGTGACTGAAGGAGAATATTTTTTCTGCATGACTAACTACACTGACACAGTCCCCCATGGGATTCTGTTTGATGCGAGAATAGCAGCCTGCACAGATGTGTGTTAGTATGAGATAAATTTCACTCGCCTTTAACAGTGTGAGTTGATATGTGTTGGTTATTTATGAGTTATTAATGTATCCCTGCTTTTCTGTTTATGGAGGAGCATGCGGGTGTATCCACATACATTAATGTATTACAAGCTCCTACTAATAGTTCTGATCATGCAGTGTAGTTAGTAGTCTCCCTCCTTCAGCAAGCAGCGATTTACTTTGTTAAGGTGTGACCTCATCATCCTGGCTCCATGATCCTCCACCTCCCCCCTGCATGAGCAGGCAGCCCTGATATCACACAAGCATACATAGTCACACAGGGACACACAGAACAGCAGCAGAGGGGACTGGGCAGGGCTGGGGAGATTTTCTCATTTTATTTGCAGGGTATATGTGTCTATCTCTCACTGTGTGTGTATGTGTGTGTGTGTGTGTGTGTGTGCACAGGAGAGCCAAGCAGAGGGGGAGAGAGAGAGAAAGCGAAACAGGGGAGGCGAAAGGGAGGGAGTGTGGATCATGCATGTGCATTAACTCAGCTCCAGCGGCGCAGCAGCAGCAGCAGCAGCAGCAGCAGCAGAAGCAGCAAACAGAAACAGCAGCAGCACAGGAGGAAAGAGAGAGAGAAAGACAGAGAGGGAGAGTTGGAGGCAGGGTAGTAGTCTCAGGCACAGGAACAAAAGCTGCAGAGGACTGCTTTCCATCTCCACTAAAAGAACAACGGAGGAGTAATAGAAGGAGGAGGGGGTGGTCATGATAGTAGTGAGACAATAACGGAAGAGAAGAGGCACATTGTAGTCAGTGAGGACTGAAACCAAGGCTCTTCTCTTCTCTGCTCTCCATGTTTTTGGGGACTCAACGTACTATTGCCTTCGTCTCCAAACCCAGAGGAGGATGTCTGTGTCGGGGAAGAAGGAATTTGATGTAAAGCAGATCCTCAGGCTTCGCTGGCGCTGGTTCAGTCATTCATCCCAAGGTTCTGCTGGTGGCGGAGGTGGTGGCGTTGGCGGGGTGGGAGGCTACATCCAACAGGATGGCCTGGACCACAGAGGGACGCCTACCCAGGGTCGGTTGAAGAGTCACTCACGGGAAAGAGGTGTTGGAGGGCTACGGAAGACTAACAGCCCGGTCCACAGCATCTTGGCACCAACGCCAGGGCCCACGCCTGTCTATGTCAGAGCGGGGCATCAATCATGGCACCATCAACAGAACACCATCCAGGGTCTCCAGGTCAATGAGGAGACTTCAAAGAGCAGTTCCTCACCCAGTGCCACAAGGAAAGAGGACACCAACACTGGCCAGGAAGATGTGAAGAGCAGCACAGAGGAACCTGCAGAGGTGGAGGCCAGAGAGAGGTATGACTGTCATTAGGAGACACAGATTGATTATGTGGCGCCACACCATTCACTTTCTGAGCATATGTTATGCTCAGTTAGCAGAGTGCTATTTTGGGAACACATGGTTCCCTCACATTTCATAGTGAAAGTATAGCTGCTAAATAAAATCTGCATCTAATGGGGAAAGCCTGATGTCTGAGGCAGAACGTGAGGATTAGAAAGTGAGGATGTCTTGTTGTGATTGGGAAAGATGAGCACAGCCCTGCTTTAAACAATAAATGCTGCTTACTTAGCACATAACAGTCATAGTTAATATCTCATTTCCACATCTCTGAGATTAAATACATTTATACTGTGTATGACGAGTGTATCCACAAAATTTTAACTTCATTCAACATCCGCTGTGCCATGCCGCATGTAGATCCTTTAATTAAGATCAGAGTAAATTATCTGCAAGGCTATCATTTTCCAATTTACTCAGGCTAGGCACCTGCCACCATGGCTCACCTGGGGAATCTCACTCTCATTGTCCACAGTATGTTAGGCAGGATAAACCAATAAAGCATCCTTTTAATTATTCAGTGGACCGAAAGCCCAGGCTTTTTTCTGCTCCCTTGTCTGTGTTGTGGTCCAGATTATATGCACAGTATGCCTTTGCCTGGTTCCTCTGAGTATTTAGTTTTTACACAGCACACTAATGCATTTTTTCATAGAGTTAGAAGTGGATTGCAGGGAAAGAGCAATTACCTCACGTACCGGACCTATAAAAAGAGGTAGTGCAATCACATGAATTATCTAGACTGCCACTAGAAACACTTTAAAAGGCAAAATCTATCATACCTAGTGGCTGGCACAGGCTATTGAATGTATTTTCCACCAAAATCTTTTTACCAATACTGATGACAAACTCTCAGGGTCATACATGTTTTTTTCAGCTATAAATCCCACCCCCTGCCTTTCTAGCTTGTGTTTTTTCCCCCTGTCTTCCATGTGATCCTACATCTTCTTCCAGGAAGTAAACAGGTTAGAGATGTGTGTGTGTGTGTGTGTCTGTGTGTGTGTGTGTGTGTGTGTGTGTGTGTGTGTGCGTGTGTGCGCGTGTGTGTGTGGTGTCTGGCAGAACACTAAAAGCACCTCACATCAAGGTGAAATGAAAAGACCAACTCTCCTTTTATCTTGTCTGTGACATTCTAAGGTGATTGTTCCTTAAGCTTCTCTGATTTCTGCACGCTTTTGTTCCGTGCACCTGGCGATGAAATGAACAATGAAACTGAAGTAGTCCCTTTGTTTTAGAAAAAGCTCACTTTGATTAAACAGATAAATAACCGCTCTCTACCTACAGCCAAAAACGTGTCAATATGCATTAAATAAATGCTAGAGGCAGTGGACAGTCTGAACAGAACATGAATTATTCTGAGTTAAAATAAAATGCAGTTTGGAAGCAGCTCGATGTTCTGCTCTCTGTGTTGGCATAATTGGCAGATGTTCATGTTTTGGGGTCCCTATGTGTGAAAAGTGCATGCATAAAAGATGTGCCTCACAGTAAAAGTGTGTAACTCTCTGGCTCTCAGGGGGACCTTGAGTTCATGCTGGCCATGTAAAATACAGCACAGCCATCATATTTTGACAATGATACTGAAATATTAAAATGGTTCTGCTCTGTTGGATCATAAAACTTGGCTCAGTTGCTCTGGGCAATAGCGATTCCCATTTATGAATTTGATAATCAGCAATGGAATCTGCCTTAAAAGTCCTTTTAATCGGTTTCATTCTTTTTCCCCACCTATCACTTTACAGTGTCAACAGAAGATGAATCTTCTAATGGCAGCATATTGACAGACAGTTCCATCACTTTTCCCCTGTTTTACATAATTATTAAGGCAAGGAATCAGTGTTTTCTGATCATTCATTGGCTTCAGTAGCAAAGAACGGCAGCAAAAATTAGTTTGACATGAGCAGTTAGCAGGGAAACGCATAGCCGCGTGTTGCATGATGCCACATTTCAATCAAGGTTATGTTTAATGGAAATGCAGTCACTCAATAACTGTGAAGGACCAGACTCGGGAAATGACATTTGGACACGCAGTGCATCTGTAGATGTACAAAGTTGCACAGCGAATCAGGCCAGTGACTGTGTGACACATCATGGCTCGCATGTTCATCGGCGGCTAAGCAGATGTGTGGATGTCACTGAGATATGCACATTCATTTACTCCACCAGCTGGGTGGCCCTATTACGTCTCACATCATAAATCCGTGACACATAATTTGTCACAATCCCTCAGGCTGGCTCTAGAAATGAGTTCTGCCGGCTGTGAAAAATACAAAAGTTTTAGCCGTTCCTCTGTGGCTGGAAAATATGTGTCAGTCATTTTGTGGTACATGCCCCTCAGTGATTAGTTTCTTTCTCACAATGTCTACAAGAAATCCATCCTATCAGTTTCTTCCGTTTTTTTCCGTTGATTTGGCTTCTCACTTCTGTTACTGATATTTACGGTTGTTGTCAAACGGATCTAACTGGTGGTGAAAACAGCGCATGCTAACTCGTGGGTGAACGTTATTGGAGTAAATTATGTGGAAAAATTGTCCATTTAAAATTCTCCACAAGTTGAAGATTTGCTGTTTTATATTAATATGCTTAATAGTTCACTGGTATTTATGTGGCAGGAAGGCTCTTGGAAACATTGAGCTAATGAAACATATTTTCGTCTTTATATTTAATGTGGTTAATTATGTTTTGTAGCAAACTCTAAAAACCTGTGTGGGTGCCATGAGTACTGAAGCTAACTCAAAAAGTCAGTGACTCATCTAAGTTGTGGTGTATGCTTGTGTAGTTACTCTCATTCTATTAGCATTCTCCTGAGTTTAGTTAACCTATCTCATCTAACTGACTGGTACATATCCACAGAGCTGTTAAGAGATATAATACCATGTTTTTTCCCACCCTTGCTCCTAATGCCCCTACATAACTGTATATTTGTTGTGTCCTCACGACTCTCATCCAAATAACCTCTCCCTATTGTTGGCAGAGAATATATGACAGAAGTTAACCTGAATGGAATGGAAACCCTGACCTCTCCCACATAAACACTAACAGAGGCTTGAGTCAGCGGGCTGTTAGTTTGAATGATATCTCAATTCTCTCTCTACCGCCTCGGAAAAGAAATACCACCACCTCTCCCCCTGTCAACAGCAGTAATTCAGATATTTGTTGGATGCCTCATAACACCACAAGGCTTATAGGGTCTCGGGCTACATGTGACACATCCAGCGGAGGCGTCCTCAAGATCCTGTAAATTGCAAAATACAGTACATCTGTTGTAATCTCAAAATGACAGCCAGGCGGATTAGAAGATTTTGTGATCACATATAATTCTGAAAGGTCTTTAACTTTGCCAAATCAGCATTCTGTATGCAACAAGGTTTCCTGAGATGGAAAGCGAAACGTTCAGTGTTCAGAGCCCCTTTTTGTGGCAGAAGGCTTTGAACAGCAGTGAGAAGAGATACAGCAAGATTGTATGCTGGATTTCTTCTCTCATTTCTGTACAAATGTGGATGGGTCATTTTTCCACCAAATGGACCTAATTCAGAGGAAACAATTCCTGACACAGCTTTCTATGAATTTTACATGGTTACTATTAGTAAGGGCTGTGACGTCGTTCACCAGTGTCCTGAGGCTTACATCCAGTAATTTGCACTGAAAAAGAATCACAGAGGAATGGACGTCTGTGATCAAGCTGAAAATGTGATAGTGTGGGCAAAAAATGAAACAAGGAGGCAATTTAGAAAATATCCAGTGGGTTTACTATAATATGCACATTAGAATATACAATAAAACTTAAGATCAGTGTTAAGAATTCAGGAAAATGAAAAATTATTCAATTAATTTGTGAAATAATTCACCATGTTTTAGAATCCTGCCGTGTTACCATTAGAATATTAAGGCCTTAAGACCACCAAGCTAGATAGACAAATACAAATACATACAGTAAAGGATCTAAAATACCTGGATCTATAAATATCTAATCTATGCAGTAGACCACATGCAATCCAGGACCCACCACTGTAATGTTGTGGATTAATTTGTTTACCCGCTAACATCAGATGTAAATAAATTACGGACAGCCCAACAAAGATGACAGTCTCATGCACTATATAAGTTAACCTGCTATCAGCAAAGCAGTGGGGAGCTTTCTGCTAGGATCTGCACATTTTTCCCTTACAGGATGCCCCCAACCCCCCAACACACACACACACACACACAGACACACACAGACACACACACACACACACACACACACACACACACACACACACACACACACACACACACACACACACACACACACACACACACACACACAATTTACACCAAATTCCTCATCTTTAAATGCACAGCTCAGCATTTCAATCACAGTTAACCTATGAACAATGACTGAAAATCACAACATGGGATTAAAATTGACCATACATGCACCTTTTCAAGGCAGGTCCAGTATTAATATGCTGTACTGAACATAACATAAAGAGTGAAGTCTCTATTTTGAAATATATTCATAACCTGGCACACTATTCCTCAATGGTGTCAAACAGATATCTCACTTACTGTATAAGTCAATTATGCAGAATATCATTATTAAACCAACAGCTATTTTGACTGATAATTTGTAATTTTCACTGTGCATTATTTATCTCCTCTTCATGTAGTTTCTTAATATTCAAAACAAAACTCAGTAACTCACCTGATGTGTTCATTATCTGTTCGTAGATACTGTGCTGTCATGAACTTCTCCACCACTCTTTTATACAGCATGTGCAGTTTTGTTAAAAGCTGAGGGGAAAAGCTGTAAGAAGGCAATATTTCATTTCTGCTAATAGCTGTGGCAATTTTCCACTGCACTCTCTAACACAAAGGGCCCGCTGGCCACATTTGGAGCAGATTTCAAAAGACATGGTTCCTGTATGCAGCTGCATTTCCTCCGTCATTATCAATATTGAGCACGTACTGTATGTCTGGCATAACAATGGCATCAGAAGAAGAATGTCTGTTGTAAGCCTGGGTGAGATAGGGAAAGTGCAGAGAGGAAAATCTATTTCAGCGCAAAGTTATCATTTCAGTCTCACTGCTGGGATCAAGTTATTACAGTCAGTGTATATACTGTATTTCTCTCCATGCACACAAAGCCGAATGGCAGTACACCGACTGTCAAAGCGCAGAGGCATAAAGATCTCATGGAATATATACACTTGGCACATGCTGCATGAGGCTTTGTAGGGGTTGTTGGATTGTCAACCCAACCCAAGCTACTCAGCAGCCTTCAGGGGCAAATGGCTGTTATAATCCATTTTGAAAGAGACATTTCCCGTTTGGCCCAAGCAGGCACGACTTTCCCTCTTGTAGGGGGATGGAGTTGACACTAGTTGGAATAAGACTGAGATTCTCAGCAACATGTCTGACTCATAACCTTTACAGCTAGCGGCTAATCTGGGCTGATGAAAGCACATCTTGAATCGTCGAACCATTCATCTCGGAGGGCAGTGTCAGCACATTGAGAACTCGATCACATCCGATGGAACAGAGGGAGGGACATTAAACCTGATTTTTAAATAACTCCTCTGTATTATTATTAATGCGTCTTTACTTTATATTACTGCATTTGTCTTTATCTTATGCTTAAAAAATAGCACATGGATTTTTCAATGGCACAGCCTTAAAACAGACTCCTGTTCTTGACAACATGGGAAAAAAAGCTGCATAGCATCTCCTTCACCTGCATAGCAGAGTTTTTTGAGTGTGCAGTGTCTTTTCTCAGATCCAATTAGTCACATTGAGATGTGATAGCTTTGGAAAGGTGTAAGGCGCAAATCACAAGACTTCAGGTGAGATGTGTTCACAAACTAAAATCTTACGTGCAGGTTAAATTGGGATGGGTCGATTCTGTTCTGGCTTATTTCATTCTATTTTAGGTTAATTTACCTTCTTATAGGTCTCACAGTCACATTGAAATTGTTTGTAGACCACAAAAGAAATCCATAGGCCCTGTGGGGCTCTGTGAGTCTTTTTGAATTGCTTGCGAACTGTGTAATGTACAGCATTGTCCCTGCAGCAGTTTCTCTGGAGTAGGTGTTCTGGGGCTTTAGTGCCTCGATAAAATTGGGCTCTACCTCTGATGATCCAACTCACTACTGAAAGCGAACTATACACCTCAGAGAAATTTACTGCTCCCTAGAATGTGATACCAATGCAATTAGTGTCGGAGAGATTGGTAGGCATGAAAAATCCTTACTGCATGCCTTGGAGCCAATACAAAGGCAATGCATCTTAGTTTTACGGCCCCATTGCTTATTCAGTCTTGTTTGGTGTTCCTCTCCAAGACTCCAGAGTCAGTGGGGAATTATTGTGACAGGGCAATAAATTACTCTTGCATTTAGCATAAAGTCTCACAATAAAGATTAGACTATAGGATACTGCGGTGACCAGAGAGCAATATAAACAATTCCTGGAAGGAAAACCTTGCGTTAGGTAATCAAGGGATGAGAAAGTCACACACTCGGCTAAAAACTTTATAATAGTGTTAATCGGGACATCAATAAAAGCCACCACCCCCTCCATCCTCCCTGCATTATTAGTCCTAGCATGTGCCAATATGTTGTGCTGCCAAGCATCACAGGGTTTTCAGTTCATTTGTATTGACATATCTGTAACTTTGCTGGTTTATGCAGCTCTCATATCAGCATATGAGTGGTAATGAGTGGGGACATTAAGTGTCTCTTTAAATAGCAGTGACATTTTTTTTTTCTGGTGCACTATCAGTCTTTACACAGCAGTGGCACCATGAGATGACAGTAAATTCCCTCGGAGAGACGGCTTGGGTCTGTTTATTTGGCGTAACAAACAACCCTAAATGTCAATGAGTGGACTTGCTCTGTGAAGGACACCAAAGTGACTGGGCGGCATTATTTGCCACAAGTCTGAGGGATTACTTGGATGACTGTAAAACAGCATGTAATCTAGCAGCCTGTGGGGACACAGACCCAGCCTCTCCACAATGCTGTGAGAAACAGGCTTGTTCACTTGTTAAGTCCCTGTCTTTGGAAAACACACAGATATGCAGACACACGCAGGAACAGACACAAAGGCATGCACGCATACAGACATAAGGAAATTGTGTGTCTGGGTAGCTGTTGCATAGATTGCGGTGCTTGCTTGTCCCATTGGACTGAAGCGCTTAGTTATCCATTTATGTGCAGAGTTTAGTCCATAACAATTTTAATTTCAGCTCAGAGTGGCAAGAAAGACGCAGATGCACACAGGGAATAGAGGATTCAGGAGTGCCATGTGTCCATATAAACCCTTTTGTGTCCTCAATAATTCGTTGCTTATCTTGCTGTGTACAGCACATACTTGGACAAGGAGGATAAACAGTGAGCATAATTAATTAATTTGTTTAATTAATTTGTCTTCCTGAATTAAAATCTCTTTATTAATTTTACCTGTGTCTCAGGTTTCTTTTGCTTTTGTCCTCTTTTTGATTTAGAAGAGACGGCATGCCATGTTGTAACAGGAGCAAATGGGTTATGGTGCAATGCCAAAAAAAGTGGAGAAGCGTTTCCATCAAGAAATGTACATTAAAAACAGAGCAAAATACATCTCTTTTCTCTTCCTCCCTCCTTACAGGTTGGCTCTGAGCACCTTCTCCAGAATGAACACCAACTCCTCAGATGAGTTTTTCCAGGCCACAAATCATGCAGAGCAGACTTTCCGTAAGATGGAGACCTACCTCCAGCACAAGCAGCTGTGTGATGTCCTCTTGATAGCAGGGGATCACAAGATACCAGCTCACAGGTTGGTGTTGCTTTGATTTTATTAATTACACCTACATCTGCTTTAGTTTCGATTAATCTGGATTCACTTAGGCCAGTGTCAATGTGCACATCCATGCTTTGGTCTGGACCAGGGTTGAAACATGAAACATGTTTTATCGGTCCGATCCATCTGAGCAATAATTGATGAAGTTTTGAAATGCAAAGCCAAATCCTTTAGATTTTTAGGTGACAGTTGACAGGAACGACATGCAACTCCATGTTCACTGGTCTAAATAATGTACACTGCTGGGATCTAATTACACCTCAGCCCTTCCTCATTTCCACAGTACATTTGATACATGGAAGAGCACTGTGATCCACTACATAGAGGTGTCAATATTTGGGCATCCAACCCTCGGTTGAATGGCTGTAACATCCCTGATGTTCACTGAGTGCATGCGCTTGTACATCTATCCACCGGCACATTTTGTTAGTTCATCCAGACAGACTCATGAAACAGAAACCAGAATGCTCCACAGAGAGAAAAAAGTATCAGTGACTGACCTAGTTGGGTGAAATGAACAGCTCTCTGACTTGTCTCTTTCAGTGTGGCTTTATATTTGCTCAGCAGATATGGAATATAGATATACTAAATGACACATGAGATAATAAATATATAATGGCTTCACTTTATTGTGTTGAGGCTTAAATGGATAAATGGCTGTTTTACCTATCAATCTACAATCCTCAAAGTGAAAGTGAAAACATGTTTTTAGAAATTTAAGCAGATTTGTAAAAAATCCAAAACTGAAATCTCTTATTTACAATAGTATTCTAACTCTTTGCTGTGGCACTCTAGACTTTGGTTAAGTGCATCCTCTTTGCTTTAATTATCCTTGAGAAATGAGTGAATCAACTGAGGATAGTTTAGAAAGGCAGAGTGTATGCAACCTGAGACTGGGGTGATGGTTCACCTTTCGGCATGAGAGTGACACAAAGCAAACAGACTACACAGGAGAAGTCTCAAAGCCAAGACTTAAACCCCACAGAGCATCTGAGGAGAGACCTGAAGATGGCAGTTCACAGACACTTCCCATCAAATCTGATGGAGCTTGAGAGGATCTGCCAGGAAGAATGGGATAAACTGCTCCAATCCAGGTGTGCAAAGCTTGAGAGGACTTGAGGCTGTAATTTGTGCCAAAGGGGCTTCTACAAAGTGTTGAATTAACGGTCAGAATACTTTTGTAAATAAGAGATTTCAGTTTTTTATTCTGAATGAATTTGCAAGAAATTTCTAAAAATATGTTTTCTCTTTGTCATTCTGGGTTACTGAGTGTACAGCGAAGAGCAAAAATTTTATCCATTTACAATGAAATCTACAACGACAGTAGTGTGTGCAAAAAGTGAAGGGACCTGAATATTTTCTAAACATTAGAAACCACAACATTATGGGAAGATGGGTGTAGACTGTTGGACTGTGTCACAGGATCTCAATTCCTCATAATGCCTTATGATCTCTCTTTTCCTTCATGAATCTCCCAGTGTGTTATGCGAGCTAGACAAATGAGTTCATAATTACAAGCCTGACCAGTGTAGCTATTAGCAACATGAAGTATGTGGGGTAATTTCATTCATCACACACTGACAAAGTGGAATGATACAGAATATGGGAGGAACAGTAAGTTACACAATTTCTCCCCCATGACCTAGCATGGTGTTAAAGCACACAAGTGGTATAAATCACTGTTAGGACCAGTCCTACATGAAATTATTACGCCAACAGCATAATGTGATACAATAAACTACAAAGATATGCCCTTTCTTATGAAGCTAAGCATTTGAGGGATTCAGGATTGATTCACTAATCACTTTAAATAATCAGCATATAGATCTCCCTCAGACATTTACGCTTATGTACAGTACAAGAGCATTAACTCATGATGTTTTCTTCATGGCAGACTGGTCCTGAGTGCTGTGTCAGACTACTTTGCTGCTATGTTCACCAGCGATGTGAGAGAGGCAAAGCAGGAGGAGATCAAGATGGAGGGAGTGGATCCAGAGGCCCTCAGATCCCTCGTTCATTTTGCCTACACTGGTGAGTGCTCATAAAGACATTCACTGGCTCTTGTAAGTAGTTATGAGACTTCTGAAATCCAGCGTGATTAAAATGGATCAATAAGGCAATTCATCACTGGGCAGCACTGCTTTATTTTACCAGGCAAATTGCCCTTTGATAAATCCCCCACCATGTGTTCAATCACAATATCCACTTCAGTGGTATGTTTTTAATATTCTGAGGATGAACTATTCCTCAATAAGTATTTTTTTAACTATTAATTCTTTATACAGTTTCACTGCTAATATTTGTTGCCATTTCCTTAATTAAAGTGTTAGTGATTGGCAGTTACATTCAGTCTCGACATAAAAATGTGTTTTCGCCCTGTCCTGACATTGCAGGTGTCCTTGAGCTGAAAGAGGAGACCATTGAGAGTTTATTGGCAGCAGCTTGTCTCCTCCAGCTTTCACAAGTCATCCAGGTTTGCTGTAACTTTCTGATGAAACAGCTTCATCCCTCCAACTGCCTGGGAATACGCTCATTTGCAGATGCCCAGGGCTGCGTGGACCTGCTCAATGTGGCTCATAACTACACTATGGTAGGAGGGCGAACAGAGCCAGACTACATTTACATGCTGGGTGGGCTAAATTATTCATTTTGTAATAAGGAATTGAACTCTCAGAGTGACTCATTATTGCATGAATATACAAAGGCAGCTGTAGTAATGAACGCTATAATAGTAGCAAGAGTATTTAAAAATTTACTTTAATTACCCTTATATGTGCTTTTACAATCACAATTTCAATCGAATGAATTCAGCTCCTTATAATCTAAGGTACTGACAGGAGTCTGATTTCAACACTCATCTGAATTTTATTTTCCTCACATCAACTCTGATTATAACCTGCATGATATCCATTGTTTTGTCAGTTCAGTCAGTGAATACAATACGTCCTGGTTGGATATACTATACATAACACACTGAAATATTTGTGACTATCCTCTGTGTTGCGGCTTGTTAACTTAAATAACCTGTCAAAACCTGTAAAGGAAGGAACTGTTGGTGTCAAGGTTATTTATATCATATAATTTCAGTAGAGAATTGGGTGACATGCACATTTGAATAGAAATTGAATAGTTTCATGCTTGCACTTTGTCTAATTTGGTTATGTGGCTGTCAGTAAGAGATACCATGTTGCCGCACATTGATTATTGCGCTGCCAGACTCGTGAAAATGTGATTTCTATATATCTCTGTGAGGATTATTTGCATTGGATTAAGATTTATGCACATATTTGTCAGATAACGTCTTGCTGGCCACGTAGAAGTGACAGCGCTAGGCAGGCGTTATCTCCTAAAGGACATCTGCTCAGCCTGTTTACAGAGGCCCCATCCAGGACCAGGAGGTTAATCTAATCATCAAACTGCACAAGAGGGCCAACTTCCCGTTCAATCACTTCAGTAATGAGCAGAGTGAGCTGTGGGCTTCCTGGATGTCCATCCTCTGGGTTCTAAGTGGAGCGAGTTGTGTTTTGATAAGCTTGTTTTTCCTGGTTGAGAGTGGCAGCCGATATCTGCCTCTGACATCCTCTTCCTATATGAAAGAGTTGCTGCTTTTTTATGTTGCAGTAGATAAAAATGTAATATTTCATTGTTTGAGATAACAGCACTTCTTTTCAGCAATAAAACTCCATTTCATTTACATATTTTGATAAATACTAATGGATTTAGATTTAGTAAATGAATCCGACTTTAAGAAAATAATGAGATACAGCAGTCTGGCTATGCCAGCCTCTGCAAATTACATGGTAATCGAAAAGTTCTTGAAAGGTAGTTTTCCCAGCCTCCTGCCGATTAAACATCAGCATCCCTCGTCTTCCAAACACTGTTATTACACAATTACTCTTTTGCAGTAGTTAAATCAATTAGTATCCTCTCCCACTGATCTTGTTTTCCAGGCAGTTTACTCACCAATGAGTTTGCCAGCGTCTGAAAACACGTCCTTTTAAATGCTCATGAAATAAACTCTGTTGAGCTTTCAATTTTGTCATCAGCTGTTCTGGACGAGTAATTACAAATAATTGGTCGAACGCAATGTCAAAGAGTTGGATGGAATTTCTCCCTCAGCATTACCACAACAGATCAATAGATGTCCCTCATTTCATTAAAGCTGTCTGTGCTAAGCTCTCAAAATCTGTCCTCATAATAGATCGGACCAAGGCACTGTAATTTGTTGCAAGTTGATGATCAATTGCGTGCTTGTTTTTCGTAATTGTCAAGCATCTACTCCGCAGCGAGCACTTGATTCGTCAAAGTTATTCTGGCATCTTAATAATTAATGCTCAGCTGCTTTGTACAGAATGGAAACGGGGCATGGTTACGCCCAGGGAATGCTCTGCATGTCTTTCATGTGTTTTAATGTTGGACATAACATAGAGGCGCAGAGGAGGGAGGGTGTTTTATGTAGCATCATCTCTAATGGAACTGCCCAGAGACAATGTCCTTGAAGAGGTAGCCATGCAGTGCTGTAATATCGCCTGGGCTTCTGGCCAGTAAATGGAAGATCAATCTTTAGGAAGGCAATAGAGAACAGCTTCCACAAAACTTAAAGCTGGACTCCACCTTGGTGTGATGGTAATGCTGGTGTGCAGTGCCATTCTGCTTCTCATTAAATGGCTTATAAATGCTGAGTGGTTCCATGTATGATCAGCAGCAGAAAAATGGTTTATAAGCTCATGAAGAGGCTTTTTTTGAAGATGCTTGATGCCAGATTGATTTGTAGCCTGCTGCTGTGTGGATCATTTGATTTAATGAGCTAAGTAGAACAGATGAAGCCGTCATATGTTCCTTCAAAAGTTTGAGTAATGGAGAGGATTTCACTGTGGTTATCAGTTGTGTTAGAAATTGGAGATAGAGACCTCAAAATTGCCATTCTCTATCTCCTTCCTTTCATTTTTCTTCACCTCTGTGTCCTTGTGACATTTGGCCCTCATAGGTATGGAAACACACCCACACACACACACACACACACACACACACACACACACACACACACACACACACACACACACACATACGCACACACTTGCTGCACCGCGTGTACTCCTCGGCTAATGACTGATGATTATCTGCCTCCTCCGCGTCTCCTCTGTGTTCCAGGAACACTTCCTGGAGGTCATTCAGAACCAGGAGTTCCTGCTCCTCCCCACAGCTGAGATTGTGAAGCTGCTCTCCAGCGATGACATCAACGTTCCCGACGAGGAAACCATCTTCCAGGCTTTGATGATGTGGGTACGGTATGATGTCCAGCATCGGCAACAGGACCTCGGGGTGCTTCTCGCCTACATCCGTCTGCCTCTTCTTCCTCCACAGGTGAGATTGCGGATGAAGGGGCAGAGGTGGCGATGAAGAAAATGCATGATCAGGATGATGTGGTGATTTTTGCTGAAGTTTGTAGCTGAGAACTAAGCTGTCAAAGATTTTCACTTTCCTATCATACAAAACAAACCAGAGAATATTTATGTTTGCTTGACAAATAACTGAAATGATTAACTGAATATCAAAATAGTTGCCAATTAAAGGCACTGCCCACTATACCTACAACTACTGCACTGTCAATAATCACTGTTTGTCATTGAAGTGAAGATAAATCCAAATGAGAGCTGCATATGAGTTTTTATTATGTACTGTCGGGCTATAAATAGCTTGCTTATGTTTGAATTGTTATTGTTTTAAACACTGCAACTCATGTTTTATGAATGCTTTATTTCTGTGAAGACACACTGTTTTACAGTTGTGTCATCCTAATTTACATAACATCAGACACAGATAAGCATACTTTTGGCAGATCTGAAATATAAAAATATTGCTGTTTTTAAAATACGGCTGCTTTATTTTCATTACTTTCATTACTTTCCAAAACTAGTTATGCTCATGCAAACTTTATATTTCAATTTACTGTGAATATATGCAGGAAAAATAGCTCAGAGCATTGTTGTTTGCAAAAAAACAATGAAGTAAGTGTTTTTATGAATGAAAAAAATATGTGGAAAGTATGATCTAATGCATTAGTTATCTCATCCATTGGCTTGGGAGATGCTGTTTGCTGTGAGGTAAATAAACACCAGAAATGAATCATTGTTTTTTTTCTAAACTCTTATTTAGTAGAAACTGAAAGGATGAACAGAGCGGTGCGGCTGACATTTCTTGCAGGCATAGCAAGATCAATAAACATAACTTTCTGTCATGAAAATGGAGTGTGGTGAAATATTCACTTTTTACGCCATTTGAAAATAAGTAGAGAGAATTTGTCTCTCTACAAGGGTCTTACATAATACCCTCACTTAACTGAGATCATAGATTAATAGATAAATCACAGAGAGTTTGTCTATTGTTTCAGAATGAGAGTGAAAACTGTATACATGTTAATACACTGTTAACATGTTATGTCTGCGTTCTATTGCATTAATTATTATTTCACATATAAACTGTTGAGGATTAGCATAGTCTTAGATTATGGAGCAGTTCATTGCATCCACTCAAAAGATTTTAAGTATAAACAATAAAACAGTAAAACCTACTGAGTCATTTCTTGTATTGTAGCTCCTTGCAGATCTGGAAAACAACAAGATGTTCTCTGATGATCTGGAATGCCAAAAGCTGCTGATGGAGGCCATGAAGTACCATCTTCTGCCTGAGCGACGTCCCATGTTTCAGAGCCCTAGAACCAAACCTAGAAAGTCCACTGTGGGTGCACTTTACGCTGTCGGCGGGATGGATGCCACCAAAGGTATGGCCCATTTGCACTAGCCAGCAATACACATCAACTCAGTTTAGGTGAATTGTAATACTTCACGTCTCTGTGGTTTTAGGATCTACCACCATAGAAAAGTATGACCTGCGGACAAACACTTGGGTCCAGGTTGGTGTCATGAATGGACGCCGGCTGCAGTTTGGTGTGGCGGTGATAGACAACAAGCTGTATGTGGTGGGAGGGAGAGATGGACTCAAGACGTCCAACATGGTGGAGTGCTACAATCCAATCAATAAAGTATGGTCCACCATGCCACCCATGTCAACACATAGACACGGACTTGGTGAGTGTATCTTTCGAGGCAACTGTACTTCACTTATTTCATGAAAAAAAAGAGGAAGTAATACATTAATGAAACAATGCTATTTTCTCCAACAATATTCGCATTGTTCAGCTATTCAAAAATGTATCGTCACTTATTAACTTAGCTTATTAACTTTAAAGGTAATTTGGAACTAGTTCAGGCAGTCGACCCATCTGACGGACCTCATTCTCCACAGTCATCTGCTATGTATACACACCCTCACGATTTAATGGTCTATTTAAGATATTTGCTTATCACTCTGACTGAACTATTCTGAGTTATTGTGCCAGTTATTTTCTCAATAAAACCAATTAGTAGTTTCATGAACAAAGTTTTAGGCAATGTTTTTCTACCTTACCACTATTATGATTATTATATAAACTACTGTTTTCAGAGGGTGTCGACAACAAGATACAATTCATTCAACTAATTCAGTGCTTTAGGTTTTAGCTCAGTGTTGTGTTATGAAAAACATAAATTGCACAACACATGCTCAGAGGGGTCACGGCTGGCATGATGTAAAAAAAAAAATCCCACATTTCTTTTTGAGATAGACCTTTGATATTTTCCCATTCCCCTATCAAAGCTTGGCAAGCTGTGCTGGCCCTGCTCTTCCTTACCCTTCCCAACCCAATAAATCTCATATCAGAGGCATTTGGATTCACAGTTGAAACAGGTCTGGGTAACAGAACAGGGAGATCTTGTCAAAGCATTCAGCTCACTCACCCAGTGTGGTCGGAGGTATCAGCGAGCCCAGGAGATCACACTGTACAGATTACCTGTGTTGTCTTTGATCTTTCCTGTAGCAAATATCTCTTGCTGCTTTGCTTGTGGCGTGCATATTTTGATTCTGAATGTATTTGAGCTTAGTGTCTACCAACATCCCCGCACGGCCAGTTCCGGCTGTGTGCATTATAGGTAAAGACAAGAAAAAGAAATATTATTTTTATTCCAAAACCACCAGTCTTTAATATAAGGGAGCTTGAGGACAAGAATTGTTTCTGTCTGACAGTGTTTATGTCATTGGAGGCGCTCTGAATGTGCTCTTGCCCTTGTGTTTCCTCGAAAAAACTGAACTCTCACCAAAGGAAATAATGGTGCTAATATAAAAATCCATTGTGTTAAAACATCCTTTTCGCATTGTTACTGATGAAAACCGCTTTCCTCTGTGACTTGGGACTGAGGAATAACAATGCAGTTTTATAGTCTTCCTGTTTTTTTGAATAGATTTGTTCAGCGCTATGACTCACTCTGTTCAGTTCTAAAATGAGAAACGTGCCTCTGCTTCGGTTCTCTCCAAGAACTGTCGAAAGAAGAGAGTTTGATTTAGAAATGTCATTTTATTTCTTCTCATTGATTATTCACTAACATGTTACATTACCTTTTGCTGACATTATGCTTTGTGACAAGAAAGTAATCTTTGTTTCATTAGCCTCTAAGAGGAATTGAATATACCGTGGCTTTAGCTCTGATATTTAAATAAAATCATCTATTGCATTACAAAACAGTAGGTGAATGTCATAGATGTTACATCATCTACTGTGTGCATATACTACAAACTGCCAATACAAAAAAACACACACACACTAGTGAAATACATAAAATGTGATGTGTCCATTTGTGTAGGTATTGCTGTGCTGGAAGGCCCCATGTATGCTGTCGGCGGCCATGATGGCTGGAGCTATCTCAACACAGTGGAACGCTGGGACCCGCAGGCCAGGCAATGGAACTATGTGGCCAGTATGTCGACACCACGGAGCACCATGGGAGTCACAGCACTCAATGGAAAGTAAGTTGCACTCTTTTTTTATGAAAACTACTCAATATCTCAGACACAGCCTTCTGATAAAAATGTGCAACCTTAAACTTTCGAGCAAAGTATGTTGTTGTGTTTTTGCTACTTTGAAATATCATCTGGACTAAGGGTGAGGTCACTGGCATCTGCAAACCCACAACAGACACTGAGGAGGCAGACAAGTACAGGCAATTTACACAAAAAAAATGCCAGTGTTTTTGAAAGGGCCCTGTCTGCCAAGATTTTCACTTTGTCATTTAAATGCGGAAAAATTTCATATTCCAGTGTTATAATGACCAAACAATACCACCGTTCTTGCACCTTCTCGCGTGTTTTTTTCTTACAAAGTCATCTTCTTCTTAGACTTGCTTGAACTTTAACAGTAATCCTCATGTCTGCTTTTGTTTTTGCGAAGTATAAGTTTTCTTTCTTTGCAACAACACTCTGTGTTTATCTAGAAAATTGAATCATCTGCAAGTTCATTTGCATACTGTGCTAAATGAATGACAATGAAAAATCCAGACATCTATGAAACTACAGCATGCCTTGTTTTGAGTCACAGTCAGCAGTAATGTGAGGCGTAACTTGGAATAGAGCATCTAATAACACAGACATGGTTGTGTAACTCACAGTGCATTGGTCCAGGAAAAGCTGGAAGTGCAGTATTAGTGTTGTAATAGTTTGACAACACTATACTTCTGAATCCGACCTCATTGGTCTGTGTGTGATAAACTACAGTGCCGCTGTGCAGAGGCCGCTCTGATTAGTGTGGTAATTTATACAGTGTAATCGAGACTCTATAAAAGCAAAACACTTTATGTGTTTGTATGTATTAAATGCATTACAACACTATTTGAAAGTAAATTAAGCAAAGAACAGACCAGCTCTCAGCCTAATTTAAATATGTTTGTGAGCCGACGGAGAAAAGAGGCTGCTGCTCTACATCCACTATTCAGTGTTGAAGTCGGTGCTGAGTTATTTCTGCATCTAGGTCAAAAATAGACAACAAGGAAACTGTTTCCCTAGCCTCTACTTTCTTGCTGTCGGGCCTGTGAGCCACAAGCACTTAAAACACTGATGTGATCTTTCTGGGAGGGAACACTCTCAAGGAAAGGGCCTTTGAAAACTGCAATCCACTGCTCACTGCTGTATTTTATAAAATCTGTCACATCGTCACTGTTCTGTCAGTATTTTTACTAACACCTGACAACTGATGTTTGCTTCTCTTGACGGATTCAGTAGTGTTGGATGTACATGTCAAATATTTGAGAGTTTGACCCCATTTTGTTTAATTTCCCAGACTGTTTGCAGTAGGTGGTCGGGACGGCAGCTCATGCCTGAGGTCGATGGAGTGCTTCGATCCGCACACCAACAAGTGGAGCATGTGTGCTCCCATGGCCAAGAGGCGAGGAGGAGTGGGTGTGGCAACGTATAACAACTTCCTGTATGCTGTAGGCGGACACGACGCTCCCGCTTCCAACCACTGTTCTAGACTCTCCGATTGTGTTGAGAGGTCAGTGAATGCTTGGAGAAAATACACAAACACAGAAATGTTGCGTAAGCAGTTTTGGATTGCATTTGGTAGAACTCAGTCATGGGTGGGGACGAGGGCTGTTGACTTTCTAATAAGAACAAAAGGTAGTTAAGCTCCTATTGATCCCCACCCTGTTCCTGCATTTTGAGGCTTGTCAGTGTTACTACATGTACTACGTGATACTCAACCGAAGAGATCATAGTTTCCACACATGCTTTTATTTTATAGTGTCTGGCACCATCTGCTGGCTATAATATCCTCCTGCAACACACCAGTAGAGCGCCTTCAGTTGTCATTCGCTGCTCAGGATACCTTCTCTTCTTTTTCAAAATATGGAATTGTGTCTAATTTATAATTGCTTCCTATTATGTTTATACTTAAAGAGATATTATTGCAACAATAATCTTCAAAAGCTAATTGATGCATTCATTGGTTTTGCAAGTGGTAATGATAAAATTAAGCAAGATTTCTCAGCTCCTACAGATTAATTTGGCACATATATTTTCCACCATATGCTGTTTCATTTAATCATCCATGAAACTTTTGTTAACTGGTAGGATGCATGTATACTGACTGACTGAACAGACTTCAGTTTAGCACTTTCTGATTGTTACATACAGTCTCTTTTGGGTCTTGTCAGCGTGTTTGTCAGTTTATTTTTCCTATAATTTCTCAAACTCTTTAGTTGTCTCCAAAGCAATGTTAAAATTTGTCCCTAAAAATATTTGATGCCTCACGATTGTCGCAGCACTTTTAACATTTTAAACAATCAATTTGTCAAATCAAAACATTCTGATTATATCAGTACCTCTGGCTTTTCCATTTATTATACAGTGCTGGGATGCTATTTAAATGCATGATACTTCACAATTTACTGTCCGGATACATTCTCACACATGCATTTCATTATTTTGCTTAAACACGACAAAAATGCATTTGAATGACTTCATTACAGGGAAATCATACAAAATAAATCACATAACGTGTGTGTTTTCCTCATCTACGCGGTCAACAAAGAATTTTTGTGCAGCTGCTTCTGCCCTCACTGATGAGTCCAGCTCTCTCTGGACTCAGCATCCACCAGCTGCTGTTCAAGAGACAGTTTTTGCTTTTAAGTTTCAATTTAGTTCTCTGTCTGTGCTGAAAGGAGTTTCCCCTGGTGACAATTCATACATCTGTGATTTAAGAGAGCGAACATAAGGGCGTCTCAATTAGTAGGGAAGGGATGCTGTTTTCCTCTTGAGATCCAGACGGATGGAATAAATGAAATTTTACAAAATGGAAAAAATCTTCTTTGACCATACCAGCCATAATGCAAAAACAATCATTTGACCAAATATTGCAATTGCAGGTACGATCCAAAGACAGACATGTGGACCACCGTGTCCTCTCTCAGTGTTCCCCGGGATGCAGTGGGAGTATGCCTGCTGGGCGACAGGCTGTATGCTGTGGGTGGATATGATGGGCAGTCGTATCTGAGCACTGTTGAATCCTACGATGCACAGAACAATGAGTGGACTGAGGTAATTACATCGACCAAAATGAATTCATCACAGTCACACAACATGTCTTGAATATTATATTCTATATTAACCATGAACATTTTCTTTTTGGGAACTTTTGACATTTTAAATGGTTAAAATTTTAATGTAATTGTAGCTTGTATTTGCCAGAACTGGTTACATATAACATCAGGGTTCCAGTTAATGCCCTTTGGGAAGATAAATCTGCTGAAGTCACAGAATCCTATCAATATTTTATAGCCTTCGTTTCTTCTTTTGCAATATGTTTTTCCAATCTTGCCTTTGTAACCCTCTTATCTGCATGAAATAAAATTGGATTTCTTTGGAAGACAGCCTCAGATGAGAGGCTGCATGTTAACCTCTCTGTCTTCCTGTAGGAGGTCCCTCTCAACATTGGCAGGGCAGGCGCCTGTGTGGTTGTGGTGAAATTGCCTTGAGCGTTTTGTCTCATGACAGCACGGGAAACAAATGAGAGAGCTGCGAAGAAAAGTGGACAAACAAAACAACAGATCGAGGACACATCCTTCGAGAGTCATGTTTTTATTTTTTTTTTTCCTTTAACTCTGCTCTACAGATTTTTCAGAGGGAAACACAGACAGAGCCTTGCCCATAAAGCATTGTTTCTATCATTAGTGGACATGTCTGCCCACTGGGGACGACTTGTTCAGAAACTGGAATGCACTGCACATTCTCCACATTCTCAACCGATCAAGAATTTTCATACACTTGGCTAAGCTGTAGCAAATCAGTGCCAAGCCTTTGTTGTACTGATTTGTTATACTAGTTTTATGAAAACTTCTGTCTATGTCTGTAAAATTAAATTTAAAAGTTACATTTTGAGTAAACAAGCCTAACTCCAGGTTAGCTTACATTTATACACAAACATTTCCTATCAGTGCCATCACATACAGTATATTTTTTGGGTTTATATTTCCCTTTATAGCCACTCAAATGAAAATTGTTATAATGAATAAATGTAACTATATACCAGTGTCAGAACAGATTCTTACTCTTTAATGAAGAAGACTGCTATGACACTGAGGCTAATGAGTTTGTCCAGGCTGGTTAGGAGTTCGGGAGTGAAATCAAACTTTTTGCTGAGTAATATATTTGGACATTTTCTTGAGTACTTTTTTTATTGAGCCTGTAGCTACAGAACACCAAAGTCATTTGCTTGTCTTGTTACGCATTAAATAAAGGTTTACAAAATTGTGAATTACAGAAAATATATCATATTGATATTTCACATGGCTGTACAGATTTTTGTGAACTTTCTGAAACTACATTTGTGTTGTAAGAATCATGCCTAAACCAGTGCACTGGTGACTGCAGTTGTTATTATTCTTTTGGCTTTATTTCAAAGGCATGCTAGCTGAGCTAAAATTTATTTGATTTATACAATATTGTATATCAAGATCATTGTCTCTACTGTATTTTAAAGGCTTTAATGCCTTCCTGGAAAGAAACAGCAAACTAAGTGGCGCAAGCTGCACCCAAACCACCAACTGTAACTGAGAGAAGTTCTATTTTACATTTTTAAATTTCCACAGCATTTCTCTAATGTGACTCTGATTAGAATTTTTAGATTTGTAGTCAGCTGTTCGGCTGCCCATAAAAGTTAACATTACTAACGTCTTCACAATGAGAACTATTTGTAATTGTAATCCTAACATGTTTTGGGGGTCAAATCTTACTTTTTATGTTTTTATCATAATTTTGTACAGCATGCAAACCTCTAAATGAAAAGACTTCAGTCTTCTCTGCATGATCAAATCCATGTTTAGAGCTGAATGTGGCCCCTCAGCGGGCAGATTTTGATTTCTCTTGTTCTGCTTTAAGTAAACTAAACTCATTCTTTCACTAAACAGACTTGGAAGCTACTTTGATGTCAGAATTAACCTCAGTTTTGTTGTAACTGCAGCACCCACTTCTAAAATCAAGGAAGCATGTTTGTTGATATCGCTCTGGGTTTTCATTTTCTCATCAACAGACTGAGGACCAACTGTTATTGCTTGCCTTTGTGCTTTTTTTTTTTTTATTGTTTACCTTCCAAATAGTTTCAAAGTCCCTCCACTCCCTTCTCATGTGTTTGGTTGGATTCCAATAGTTTTTGCATATGAAAAACTGGCTTGTGTGTCCACATGTACAGTTTTTTAGTAAACACAAAATATTAGACACACATTACAGCAAAACCCAATTTGCACACTCCATATCTGAGTTGACACAAAGATTAATCTCCTTCTCTAACTTTCTATTTCTGTTTATCTGTATCTCCTCCTGTCAGATCCTATAAAGGAAATCAATAAAGGATAATAGCTTTGACCTCAGTCCAGCTCCTCAGAGTATAATATTACTGAAAGCCCCAACATGTAGAATATTTATCTCAACATATCTCTGTCCAATTAATTCGAGATGCACAGTGTAACGGCTGTAGAAACATGAGAGCATAATGATGAAAATAGCTTGATTCAATTTGTCCCTGTATTTGATATGGTTGTTGCAAAAACACAAGATTCTTTCCCATCCTTTCCAGCTCAGTGTTTCACAATGTTAAATTCCACATCTGTTAGACTAAACTGCTTTGCCAACACAGTCTAGGTGCCACCCACAGATCAGCAACCGCAGTTAAAAACACACAGTGATAAACAGTGAGAGAGTCAGCAACACGTGATGAGAGCATGATGCAACACACCGCCTCAAAATCATCAGATAGGTTTTCCAAGACTGATTGTAGCTGAAAGGGCCCGAGGAAAATGTGCTTTATCTTACAGTATAACATTACAGTAGTATGCTTTCAGTGATAATTTAGAAATATGGCATCACAACACTGACACTTTTTTACAGGTTTTAGCTGATGTTGGACAACTCTGATCCTGCTATCCTTATTTAACCCTTTTACAGCAGGTATTTAACAAGACCTCAGTCCCTTGATATAAAACATCTTACTTGAAAAGAGGAACCTTAGTTCTTCTCAACATGTTGATTAAATTATACTTCCCTTTATTTTTCTTTTTATATTTTGAGGAACCATTAATGATAGACTGAGATTGTCAATGAAGTAATTAAAATCAAAATATCTCAACGCAATGCATCACAAAACAGCTGATTCTTCTCTCGATTTGTAAATTCCCACCATAAAACAAGCAGGTCTACTCCCAAAATAATAAGAAATAATTAATAAGCGATATTTGGGGTGACTCAGCCAAATGCATGAAATGTAAAACATGCATTTAATGACTACAACACAGAATGAATTTGTTTCATATTTCAAAGACTGAATGAATTTGAATAAAAATCCTCTATCCCGTAGTGACTTCCATTTTTAAATCAACAACCATTGTAATGGAGGAAGTGAAGACAATGAAAAACAGACAAGTTAGAAAGTGAGTTAATAAATAATAATATATATAATATTATATTTAATAAATAAATACTATATAAAATAATACAAAAAGCAGGTATGGGTTAGTTTTTTTTAGCTTAGTTCATCTTAGCATTTTGAGTTTGAGTTTTATTTCACCTGTTTCTCACACACACACACACACACACACACACACACACACACACACACACACACACTAACGCACACACACTATCATGTAAGCAGGATAGTGTACAAACACATCATGCTGAATGAGCTGGAGTTTAACAACAGAGCAAGCTGGCTGCCACATTCACACATATACACTCTGGATGTTAAAGATGTCTGTACCTGCCTGTTTGTTGTGCTGTGACTATCTTGTGACTGTCTTGTGCTGACATGTGGCTTTCTATGTAGAGGAAAACACTCAGGGTTTTTCCACTGGCTTCATTTTTTTTTTCTAAATCTCACAAAGAAAGCGAATGAAGCACATTTTCCAAAAAAAGGTAAAATTGTGATCATACCAATATCTTACCAAAAGAAGAATACGCTTAGGGGGTAAATTTATTTCAAATATATACCTGCCTTAACATTCATACTGTCTGTATGCATTGATTTTTTCCAACAATACTTGCACATAGCAACTAAACTATGGCTAAGGGCTCATTATGTCATAGCAACTAATACAACCTGTGGTCAGAGAAAGACTGTGATCCTATTTAAATTAGAAAATGCCAACAGCTGGTCAGTGCAGACATATTGGAAGTTCAATGTGGAAGGCCATTTTCTTTCTATGGCCACTGTCATACTAATATCTATTGAGTACAGTTTCACTTTCTCTGTTTTTTTTTTTTACCCAAGGCCACATCTATACCAAACATAACATCGCTGTCAAATACAGTATATCTTTATAGTCATTGTGTGTAGGACACTGCAGCACTCCTCAGATCCATCAGTAGCGTCAAATGTAGTAGATGCAGGTTCAAGCCACGATACCACACAGGACCGTACAAAGATCGGCCTCAACATTAAAACCGGTGACTGGTTTTCATGTTGTGGCTGCTCAGTGTATACTGTATGCTCCTTCGTGGTGATGTAATCATATCATAAATTATCAAGAGAGGGTGCTGTTGCACTGCAGAGGACTCACCAAACCGCGCTTACCACTGCAAACGGCAAATCAAAGATCTCCAATACCATTACTGTTCATAATAAATGTCAACCGACATTAAGAATTCCAAGGACAAATACTTGAGCTAATAACCCTGCATAATTATTGAGACATGATGATGAAATGTTGGGAAATTGGATGTTAAGGCGTCACCTTCTCTTACTTTTAAATGAGCATCTTGCTGAGTTTTAAGAGGAGCACAGAGCCTCCGAACAAGATGAGTTCTGACTTGAGAGATGATTTATCAGGTTTTAAAGGGATTTTGGCATCACAAAAGTCTGAACAATCTCTTATAATTGTGTGACAAATGCAGACAGATTGTTCTATTTTTGAGCTCTGCTCCTAGCCCCTTTTTGAAATTCTTCTTTCTTCGTTTTTTTTTTTTGGAAGTGAGGGAGCAGCTCTCCTTCGTATTTTATTCTTTTTTTGTGACAGTGAGAGATGGAAAGTGATGAGAGAGAGAGGCAAGAGCACAGCATGAGTTGCAAGCATTGTACTATATTGATTGTTGGTTGTGAATGCTTAACATATGTGTACCAGGTTTGCTTTCTTATATAATATATATTTTTGGATTTAGGGGGGAATGACAGATTTCATAAATTACAAATTACTGCTTTACAAAGATAACATGTTACAGGCACAGAATTTTGGATTTCTCTGAACACATTTCTCGTCTGCCAGATAAATGATAGCGCTGCATAATTGTTTGCTGTCAAAATACAGCCTCAGAACTTCAGCATAGATCAGTTGGCCTAATGCTCACTGAAAAACGCCTGAAAAAAAAGAAAAAAAAGAAAAAAGGATTTGGATGGTTTATTTGTCAAAACACAGTGTTCTAAGAAAGACTGAGAATAAAAAAAAAACAGCATGCGAGGGATCATCTTCACCACGGGGACAAAAGACAAGATGGATCCCTCTCCAAGTGCCACAACAAACTGTCAACTTAGAATAAGATTGTGTCGTCAAGCCTGCTTAAATAAGCCTGTTAACATTGCACTTTTGACATCTCGGAATGCAGCGCCATATCAGGCAAAACGCTGTGTCTTCCCTTCCCCAGGTGATGGCAAATTGATTTCACACGGCAACAATTTTTTCATGTGTGTGTGTCTGAATTCAGGAAGAGACACAGATTTAACATATCACACAGGCAACAGGCCTGTATGTAACCACAGAGGTGTGTGTGTTCCTGTTTCAGCTCAACAATCCAGGTGAAACTTGAGAAATCACCTGCTTGAGGAACTACGCCGCAAACCTTTTAGTGACACCGTTGGTGATGAAGTAGTTAGCTGAGCTTTCATGAGTCTAGCACTGATACAAAGAATGACAGTTGCTTTTCTCGTCTGATCAAAGGCAGCAGACAAGTGCTGTAGAATGTTTCTCCCTCCATCCTCCCCCCAAACCCTGTCTCTATCTAATGATAGTTGAATACATTGTCATCTCATTATCTTTGAAGAGGGGAAAGATCCCTCCCGTATGAGTGGGCACTGTGTCTCTTGCCATCAGACGAGCCCTAAGATTGGTGAAGCGCATTCTCGTCTCATTATGTTGAGTGAGAGATATCAGACACATCCCATCTGCCTAACGCCTTCCACACACATGCCGCCATGCTTCAGCCATACAGGCTGCCACAGAAACACTGCAAATAGTTGCTCTGCAATTGTATAACTCAGCTATGAGAATGGTTTTCTAAGCAGGTTCAGACACTGCTATCACCTAGATCACTGTATGGTTAAATATCATGGGCAGGATTAATATAATACAGGAGTGTAAGCTAGGACTAGTTATCACAGCGCCTACCACCAAAGAGCCCTGGACTCTTATGTCTAGTCTGCATCTCATATAACCATTAATACTGCAGCATATCATGTAGTTTATTTCTCAATGGTTTTAAAGTAGAACACAAAACTCATTTACCCCCAGGCAACTTGCTGCAAGGCTTTAAATGCGGTTCCTTTTGACAAATGAAAAGAGAACTAAATTTCACTTGTGCAATCCCTCCCAATTTCCCAATTTGCAAAGCCCCCCCAGGGTAAAGAAAGAAAAAAAAAGAACATATTACACAACCACACAATCTGATGCAATCACGTCCCAAACTTCAACCTGAAAAATCAACATGATACGGTTCATATACAGAAAATATACACTTTTTAATTTAGTTTTTCAATTTTCAATAAAAAAAAATAAAAAAACACAGTCCAGTTGCATGAAGGTATAATTTTGTTGCTTGTGTGACTATTCTAATATGAATGAATAGTGCTCAAAGCCGAAAGCCAACAATAATAATATGTGACAGAAATGCCAAATTGGTCCCAGTTTCTCTTGACTGGCTCTAA